ATGTATATATATGTATATATATGTATGTATATATATGTATATGTATATATATATGTATATATATGTATATATATGTATATATGTGTATACATATGTATATATATATATATATTTATTTATTCATTTATGTGTGTGTATTGGTGTACATGCGAAAATACGTGAGTAAGACATGTCTAGTCTATTTCCTAGATGTACGTACGTACATAGGCATGTGCATGTGTACATATAGGTACATATATATATATATAGACAAAGCCCAGTAACGAAAAAACGTATGTTGTTGCACGACCTCAATACGGAATGTTGGGCTGATGCGAGCGACTGGAATCGAGCATCAGAGACCCCGTACAGCAGGTGACACAAAAAGTACAAACGATATAGTAACTATAGTAATTATTCATAAGCTCATAAACCTGAAAATCTGAAAGCTGATACTACATGGTATACCTATTTCAATCGATCATGGTGGGTACATGCGTGCGAATGGCGCCGAAAATCTGAGACCCTAAAGAGATATGAGATACGGGACCCGCAGAGGCAAGGAGACCCAAGACCTCCAAAAGATAGACTGGTTCCTAAACACCCCAACATGACATGTGGGGAAAGCCCTACGCAAGGAGGATTGGATGGCAAACCCCACTCTTGGAAGATGTGGCTCAGTTCCCCAAACCTACAACGTTCAATAGGGTATGGTTTTGATGCGCAATCACGTGGCAGACCGTTAACGCTGCGGACGGGTGCCGTCCTTTATCGAACCCAAAAATCAACTTTGGCAACTCCAATGGCTTGAAAGAAGTAGTCGGTAAGGAACCGGTTCCCAAAAATCGGTTCCCAAAAACCCAAATCCCTGACAGGAGTGAGTGGTGGAGATTGGAAGTTGAACACTGTAACGGGAGATATTGATCGTTGCAAGAAAATAGAATTACCAGCAAGGGCTTGGTGCGCGGCAAGGCAGCACTGAGAACCAAACCCTAAGAAAGGTGACGGAGCCTCCCAAACCCGACAGTCGGCAAAATTGTGTCGCAGACCAACCGCCACAGGAGACGATGAGCGGCAAACCACGTGTTCCCAGAAAACGCAAACAACAAACTAGTAACAGACGATGGGTGGCAGGTGCAAACCCCGAATCTTTAAAAGAATATAACCAGGTAGGTGGCCAACCTTACTTACAAGTCCCCGCAAGGGTGACAGGACCCCAACCAGGGGAATGAATCATGGATGACAAAAACCGAAAGATCCGCAAGGTATGGTAAGAGATTGCCTCACGGTGCTACTGGGACTGGAAATATAAGTCCAAGTTCAAGTAAGGGATGCTGGGTCGCAAGTATGCTCTTAAACGAGACGACAGTTTTCTAAAGCTGCCGAGATCGCCTACCAGGCTATTGGGGACTTTTGGAACTTGGTTACCGACTTTGCAGATCATGGATTGCTCTGTTATCTTGGGGCTTGAAGATTGCGAGGTAGCATACCCTTTCACAAGATTTTGTGTCATCTCTGGAACTTGGGGGTCTCGTAAAGATTGTTGTTGATTTTTTTGTTTCATGGTTTGGGGTTTGGCATTCCTCAGATATTGGGTTTAAGTTTTACGGTTTGGGTATGTTGGAAAACTTTTGGAGTTGAAGGTTTCTCACCCATCATTCTTCGCATGGGTTGCTTTGAAGACGCAAACTCGTTTGCCCTCTTTGTAGAGCGCTTATGGGGTCTGCAAGGCCTGACAACCATAACATTTCGTTGACACTTCGGGTTGTCGAGATGCCATTATCATTAGGATTTGAGCTTCTTTATCAATCAGTCATCAGTGTCAAAATCTGAAAGCCAGTTAGCTTTTTTAGAGTTTCTGCTGCTGCCAGCCTTGTTTAAGGACTCAGGTTCTGGGTCTGCCACGCAGCGGTTTTCATCGGAATTTGGGATATTTGGGAAGAAGCTTTCATGTTTGTATCCGGGGAGTGCGACCCATACGGTGTTGGGTCTGCATTTGAGCCAGCCCGGCTAAAATTTAGGTTTCTCAATGGCTGGTCCCCGTCTCCATGTTTGGTATTTGACTCAGATCATCTCTTTGAGATCTTCAACAAGTCCCCCTAAGTTTCTTGGGATCTAGTAACTAGTCACCACCTTTGGGATATGTGCTGTCCGAACCTCTCACTCCTGTTAGGGATGGCTTGTGGGAGCAATCTTCCAAACCACTTACTTCTTCTGTGGTCGAGGTTTTGCTAGTACCTGCTTTTGCTAGCCCGTTCATGTCTTGTAGAGTTTGGGATGTGCTACCCATCATCGCATCAAAAGTTACGGCAGGATCCAACACCTGTCATTTGTGTAGTCGTGAACCTAGCGCGATTATTGTGGTGTCGGCCTCTTTCACCTTCTTGGTCTTGGGTTCCCACCTTTCACGTACATTGAGTTTTGGATTTCTGCACAAACACGTTGGACGAGAAGTGCACTGCTTTATCCAACTGATTTTGTCACCTACTCTGTTCTATAGTGCCAGGGTTTGGACTCCTTTGGCGGTCCCGTGACTTCCAGCAGGATTCAGATCTTGAGACGTCGTGCCAGTCTTTAAAGATACGAAAAAACAACAGTTTTGCTTGTAAAACACGGGCCCGTATTCCGTGGCACTCTCTTATATAACCCATTATAGGGTAGGGGTCCCCATGAAGGGTCCCTCCTTTTCCCCTTTGATAAATGCAAAACCCGAAAACCAAAACTGACCTGAAAAGACTGGTGACCACCATCCTCAAACCGGATCTTCCAAAGCTTCACCCTTTCTACTTGGAGGATCATGGGACTTAGTAAGTAGGGTTATAGGTGCCTTAATTGGGGTTATAAGTACTTGTAAGTATAGTTACCTTATTTATAACCCCACTTACTAAGTCCCATGATCCTTTAAGTACGGTCAGCCCGAACGCGAAAGTCTACACCTCAAAACCTCGACGCTACACGGCATAACTCCAAGACTCCCCTATAGATTATCTTTATTGTAACCCGCATATCAGCACAACAAACCCCAGACCCACCAACAAAAACACCCAACCGTGACAACCATGACCCCCAAACCATCAAACAACGCTAAATCATTAAACTACATTACTACGTATGATTATGACTCTTGATTATTTCTAGTGCTAGTATCACTACTAGTACATCAAACAATCCGAAAACCCATCCCCAAATGTACCCCAAAACATCTCTGTCAGCTCGTGCCCAGTTCGCAAAACGGGGCTGAGACATGGCGTCCAAGAGCTCTGTAAGGTCTGCCCTGAGGCGTTTCAAGGGTTTGGCGCTTTACGGTTTCGGGGTTTTGTTTAGGGTCTGGGCTAGGATTTGGGGTTTAGGGTTGTGCAGTTGAGGGGTTCTTGTTTGGCTTCACCACGTTGTGCGGGCTCTTATCACTTGCGGTCTAAGCACTTCAGATTAGGATTCAGGCTTTTGTGAGTTTACTCCCCGCTGTACAGCAAAGACAAACGTGTCTAGTGATTTGCCAGCGCAGTCTTTGGCTTCTGCCTCACTGCCCACATGATCCGCAAGCTAAGGAATAAAGACTTACCCAGACATCTAGAAAGTAGATCCGCTAATTTGGGGCCCTATACTACTAAGGCTACTTTATAGGAACCCCCATTAAGGGATCTACTTTTTGGATCCTCCCGGGGGTTCGGGTAGTGAGTTTAGTGTGATTGTTGTAATTGTTTTGGGATGCAGGGCCTCCTCCGAACCCCAAGGCCCCAAAACCTAGGACCTTAAACCCTAAAGCCCCAAACCCTAAGCCGCCACGCAGTGTGACCTCAAGCACCTTCGAGTCTCAGCTCCTGAATGTGGGGGTTTCCGAAAATAGGGGACCGTAATCATGCACCTTTTTTTTGTAGGACCCTTATTATAAGGACCCCCTAATAAGGTGCCCCTAATTTTCGGAACTCCCATGTGGCTACAAAATTCCTTGAAAGATACGTTTAGGGTCTCAGGAGTTCTTGCTGTTTGTAGTGGTAAGGGCCTGGTTTTAGGGTTTAGGGTTTAGGGTTTAGGGGTTTAGGGTTTAGGGTTTAGTGGTAAGGGCCTGAGGAATTCCGACTATTTGTAGTGCTGCCTATAGGGCTCCCTAAACTACTCGCAGTCTGTACTTAGAGGATCATGGGATTTAGTCAGGTTATAAATAGGGTAACTATACTTGTAGCTACTTATATCCCCGACTAAGGTACTTATAACTTTACTTACTAAGTCCCATGATCCTCCAAGTAAGGTTCCCTGATGTATCTTCATGGTAGGCCCCCACAAACTGATAGAGGCCCTCTTTAAGGACGGTGCAGGGCTGCCGGCATCATGTCCAGCGGTGGCTTACCTTTGGCATCTTAGGGTTGTGTGAACGGCTTTCTAAACGCACCTTTTTTGGTTTTCCGAGGGCCTTGTCGGGTTTAGGGTGTTGACTTCAGCTCAGAGTTTAGGGTTTGGGATTCAAAGTCTTGAGGCTATGGTTGGGGGCCTTGGGTACCCAAACCGTGAAGGGCCTGACTCGGAGGCCATTTGAAGGGTGCCACTATAGGGGCCTTGATCATTAGAGTATGGTTTTGGGTATGTTTTGCTATCACTGTAATCAGGAACCCCCCAAAGTGGCATTTGTACTTATCAGAACTCCCATATTACTTTTCAGCTTTTTCATGAGTTTATGGAACACACCCAAGGAGTTTGCAGTTGACGGACTCAAATGACTCAATCACAAAGTGTACACATCCGGCAGCACCTATGGAAGTGAAAGCTCGAAGTTACCCTAAACCACTACTGGGAGACACATAGAGGGTTTTCCCTGAAGATGAGTGCGTGCGTACCTTTGCTGAGGCTAAAAGAAACTACAACTATAGGTACATCACAATCATGGCACTGCGCTATAACTGAAGCCCTGTGACCCAGTTTTAGCTATCCATGTAGTGATCTAATTATACAGTCTTATAATTATATACATATCTACAAGACCACCCTAAACCCTAAACCCCTAAACCCTAAACCCCCGCCTGGCTTCATCCCACCCTTGGAGCTGTTTGATAAGAGGCGTCTGGCCACTTCTGAGCCGCCCGGCGCGTTATGGTGGCATTGAAGATGTCCTCCGAAATTCGGGGAGTCACTCAACGACTTGGGCCTGGGGGCTGGGGTGTTAGGATTTAGATGATTTTGGCAAGATGAGCGGTTATAAAACAGAAGCTGTAAGATCGGCCGTGGCAGCAAAGTAGGGATGCAAAGATTTGGCCGTCTAGAAGGATCTACATGATCTAGGTTGGCCCTTTAATAGCCTCCGCACAGTTCGTACGCAAGATCCTCTTAATTGGGCCCAACGAGTGGGCCCTTTCCCGCTTTCACGGTAGCTTCGGACATTGTACAGCCTCTGCTTAGAATATCTTGGCACTCTAGTGAGAATTTGTTAAGTTTAAGCTTGCAAGGATTGCTATCCCCCTTAGAATACTTACTAGCCTCACGTATAACACACTAGTAATGCTGGAAATTGCGTCAGGCAGTATGACCGGGAGGCAGGCTTCACATCTGAAGCGTGGCGGATTCTGCAATAAGACGAACCCTGAAGCCCAAACCTTAAGCCCTCAATCACCCGCACCCCGAGGTCCTGAAACCCTGATGGTCGGTCGTGCATGGCCCTAATGGAACTTAGACCCGCTGCCCTAGAAGCATAACAACACATCACATCTGTCTGCTTAAACCAGACTTCAAGTACTGAAATGGGATTTCATGCGAGAATGTCGATTTTGGCACGGGTAGATACACTTAGGGGACTTGTGCTTGGGATTGGGATACGGACACGCGCACCCTCAATTCGAGAACAAACGCCTGAGGCTGCAAGTACGACACCCACATAGAGAACATAGCACGGAACGATGCTTCGTTTCAGTTTGTCAGGTCATAAGAGACAAAGTGAAATTGAAAACCATCATGTATGTTAGAGCCTAGGTTTTGGGGTTTACGGCCTGAAGTTTACACACCCCCATAGAAGTTCCATCGTTTTTCGAGTCAAACCAGCATCGCTCTCCTGGATCGTCTGGCAACCTTCCACGAAGATGCCGCCTGGAGAAAGGTCGTTTACGGATTTACAGTTGTCCAGTAGTCTAATACGGGGGCCTTATTAATCAGCATATGGCTTTGAGGTATGTTATATTATCACAAGAACCGCAGCGGGCAGGAGCCCAGCCCGCATCCCTTAAATATAAAATGTCCCAAAAGCCCTACCTAGTTATTATGAGGATTTCAAAAAATAGGGTGCCTCTAATTTTCGGAAACTCCCACCTGGAGTGGCGGTTGTTCTCGGCCCCGTCGGCGGGCTCTTGTCCAAGAGGACCTCCGAAGGCGTCTAATGCAAGGGCCTTAATAATTAGACTAGGGTTCCCTTAAAGGGTTCCTTTTGAAGGGGTCTATAAAGGTTAGTATAAGGGCGACCATAATGATTTAGTATAGGGGCGTCAATAATTTGAATACGGTTTTGGGGCCCATTATACTACAATTATAATAAGGAGCCACCAAAATAGTATAAGTAATTATCGAAGCCCCTACAGCAGCCCCTATAGGAAGGCTCACGATCGGGCGCTTAGGGCACTCGGGTAGGGTTCTGCAAGTAAAGCTTTTACACAGTGCTTGGGTTCTGCAAGGGTATTCCAGTGTGGAGGTTGAGGGCAAGGCTGATTCGGCTTTTAGGTTTCGGCTTTTCCCTACCGGAAGGATCTAGAAAGTAGAGCCCCCCCATTTGTTAAACCAAGCGATGGGCATTTTGCTAGGAACCACTTAAGGGATCGATTTAGGGCCCCACACTTGCTACACCAAACCGTCAGAGCTTCCGCTAAAGGTCCCTAGCGGAGCCCGAAAACCCGGCTCTACACTGGCGGGTACTTGGAGGATCATGGGACTTAGTAAGTAAGGGTTCCTTTAAAGGGCTCCTAAAAAGGGATCTATAGGGTTTCCTTAAAGGGATCTATAGGGTTTAGGGTTTAGGGTCTACTTGGAGGATCATGGGACTTAGTAAGTAAGGTTATAACTGCCTTAATTGGGGTTATAAGTACTTATAAGTAGAGTTACCTTACTTGTAACCCCACTTACTAAGTCCCATGATCCTCCAAGTAGGCCTCCTCCCAGAACTCCTGAGACCCAAATCACCCAAACACCCACAGACAACAAGCAAAAGAACACATGACACCGAAACCCCACTAGGATGCCCAGTAACCTAAGAATAAAAAGGCCTCTCTTTTTGGTAGTGGGTAACTTTATAAGGAACCTAGTTCTACAAAAAGGGAATAAGGGTACTACTGGGCATCCTAGCCCAAACTTACAACCCCGACGCCTCTGAGGCCCCCTGAACAGGAACCTTCAGGGTGGTAAGGGGTCCCGTCGATGAGGTGTTGAGGAGTTAGGGTTTGGGGTTTATGGGTCTCTTAAAGCTTGGCATTTTTGGGGATCTCATGTAAGGGTATGCTTTTGGTCCAGGGGCTGCGGGCACAAGAGAGTCATCGAACCCCGCCCGCAGGGAAGCGACCCGGATGTCTCGAGGCCCCCCCGGAGTTTCCGACAGCCCAGACTTCGGCTCGGGGTTTCATATGGGAGTCAAGGGGACCCTAATAAAGGGATCCTTTAAGGGTTCCTTAAAGGCATCTATAAGGGCTCTATATAGGGTTTAGGGTTTCTCAGAAATAGAGGACCCTCATATAGCACCCTAAATAGTAGGATCCTTACTCTAAGGACCCCAAACTGGGGTACCCCTAATTTTCGGAAACTCCGATATAGGGGCCTGAACAATGAGAGTAGGGTTTTCAGGTATTATTGGACTACACTTAAAATAAGGACCCTCCTAAATAGGGATATTTTGCTATAGTTACATAAGGAGCCGCCAATGTAGTATAAGTAACTAGTATTCAGGCCACTGTAGAGCCCTATAGTACCCTTAAAGGGGATCCGGTTATAGAGCTCCATATTACCGATAAAGTAGTTACAGTAAGTCTCAAAAACTTGGAAGCCGGATTAGGACAATGAGTGCTGGGATTCCCTATACATTGCTCTTCAGGATTGAGGCTATCGGGTTTCCAACCTTTATGGGCTTTCTGTATTCAGGCCACTTACTCAGAGGCCCAGGGCACTTAGTAAGTAGGTTATAGGTAGCATTATAAGTTCCCTAAAAGGGAGTTACCCCAACTATAACCCTATTTTGACCTACTTACTAAGTTACTTGGGCCGCTAAACTCCTAAACCCCCTAAACGCCGTCAACCCCTAAACCCCTTTATAGAACCCTTGCAGATCCCTGTGAAGGAACCCTGGACCCCAGCCTTACACCCCTTGTAGTAGAATAGTAGGGCTCCTGAAAACCAGCCAAGGCGCCTGAATGAAGGTTACGCCCAGGCAGAACACGTCACCTGGGGACACCCAGAGACTCCAATATCCCTTAACTAGGGAATATAACTTAAATTACAATAGGACCCCTAATATGATTTAAGGAATAGTCTTTAATCAAGGGATATTGGAGTCTCTGGGCAGTTGTGAGGAGCCTTCAGAATCCTGGGTTCTTATTAAGGAACCCCTTGGGGTACCCTTGAAAGGAAACCTTCGGGGGTAGGTACCCTTTAAAGGAACTGGGTTCTTGTTAAGGAATTGAACTTAAGTCACCAAAATAGGGATCTAAAGTAACTAGTATGGTTTCCCTACTATGGTAACTTAAATTTAAGTTCCCCATCAAGAACCCAGGAATCTGTTGTCCACCGAAACACCGGAAGCTTGTATTGTAAGGCCGTACCAATTAGGGAATTAGTCAGTTGCAACTAAACAACTTCGTAAGTCCAAAGCCTTAAGCTTCCGCAGCCCAGCTGAACCGTAGATCCTGTGCCTCGCGCTGGCTACTTCAATAACTCCAACATGATAGCCGCAGGAGCCGAAGCAGCAGTATCAGCGCGGCGATGGTTTTGCGAATCGTGGTGGCAATGCTTGCGGACCCAGAAAGCTTACCCTGAACTCAATTTCAAGGACCTGGGACTTAGCCTGTAGCTTTCAGCTGTCCCAAAATGTGTGGATGCCGCCCAAGTAACCCTATGCTGTGTCTACAGCATTTTGTACGCTTCAATACCTCCTGCGATGCTGTAAGTAACTTTTTCATTTAGGGACTACAGGGGGGTACCACTACGAGCTATTCAGACTCTTATCATATAGGGGCCTTACTAATTAGAATAGGGTTATGGGGTCCATTATACTTTAATTATAATAAGATCCACCAAAATAGTATTGGAAATTGTTAATGCCTCTACTATAGAACCCTACGATAGATCCCTTATAGAACCATTTTAAGGATCTCTTTAAAGGGACGGCTATTCTAACTATTAGGCCCCCCCCCCCCCCATACTGAACAGCTCTTCGACCCCAGCTACCGCCGCCGCTTCCGACACCCACAGGCCTCGCGGCAGCCACTTGCGCTGCTGGATGGTCTCCGGGGGCATGTAGCCCGGCCTTGGAGAATGGAGGGTGGAGGCTTGGAGACAGTAGTTACAGGATCACTGGCCTTCGTAAGTACAGTAAGCTGCACAGCTAGTTGTGATTTCTCGAATTGGGGTGGAGCCTATGCATGGGTACTTTCTTCGAAGGGTACTGGTTTAAGGTTCAGGATTTCCGGGAGATGGTTTAGGATTCACACGGTGCAACCTAAGCCATAAGCTTTACGCCGGAGCAACCTCCACACTTCCATGCCGAGGACACCCTTCTAAGTTAACATTGCTACCGTAGTCGCTGAGTTCGTCACCCCCAAAAAGTGTACACTTTTAGTTTTTTTGGTGAGTAATACCCTAAACCCTAAACCCCTAAACCCTAAACCCCTAAACTACAAAAGGTGTAAAGCGTGTCCACTCAGCTACCAAGCCACGGTGCGCTCCAAGGACCTCTTAGATGGACACGGGACCATCGTTGGATGACTCTTGTTCATATGGGAGTTTCCGAAAATTAGGGGTACCTTATTTGGGGGTCCTTATAAAAAGGATCCTACTATTTGGGGTACTATATTTGGGTCCCCTATTTTGGGAAACGCCCTTCTGGGAGGGTCTAATTATGATCGGGAGTCGACATCAGTCTGCATTCCGTACTATGCTAGGCTTGAGGATGCTGGCACAACATCTGTAGCGACTGTACTGACGCTGAGAACCATGGATGAAAAGAACATCGCGGGACAGAAGCTGCAAAGGTGCACGCTAACCACCTCCCAACTTGATCTGATCCCTCCTCTAAACAAAGACAGGGACATACTGCGTACATCTTAACAGCTGCTATCTTGTGTCGGGGATGCCGCAAACAAGCGCGCTCAGAACCAACTTCTCCAAAAAAACCAGTCCAATCCTGAACCCTAGGCCGATGTAGATGCAGGAATAATACTTAGACTAGGGTTTGGGGTTTCAAGGTTGTAGATAAACTACAGAACCCTGATGCAGCATAATACTACATATGACTTCTTCCGATCCCTACATTCCCTAAACCCTAAACACTAAACCCGGTGTGCAAACACCCAGGACCCCTCAGTGTCGAGCGTTCCGCCTGGCATTCCTGAGTAGTGGCTCGGGTTGATGGGCTTCAAGCGTTTGCTTTAATGTGTACAAGGGTTTTAGGCAAGTTTTCTGGGATTTGGATGGATTTAAGCTTTCAGAAGGACTCGGTTCGAGTTCTAGGCTTGACAGCTTCTGGTGAGTTACTTTGTCTTTTGAGGCAGGGAAACAAGTCAACCTAGCGATTCTAGCAGGAGTGTATAGGCCCTAACCTCTAAAGCTTATCTCTTGGCTACTGAGGTGCACAGTTGGCTGATCCCGAGGGCAGAAGCCAGAAGCAAAGCCCAAGCTTCCAGATCGAGTCTAAACTCACTAGCGGCCCTCAAGCATGCACTTCCCACTTTCTACCGAGTCCCGAAACCCCAGACCACCCAGAAACACTTTTTTTTGGCAGGGACTGCTTGGAGGCCCTGTTGACTTAGTAAGTCTACTTAGTATCCCCTAGAAACCCTATTATAATCCCCATGACCCACCTTACCAACCCTACTTACTAAGTCAAAAGGGCCTCCAAGTGCAATGCACCCAGAAACACTAAACCCTGAAGTCCCTTACACCCCAAAAGCCAGAACAGAAGCCCCGACATCCCCAACCCTCCAATGTAGGGGCCTTAGTGGGGCATTGGGCTCCTTCATAGTGGACGTATATATATATATATAATATATATATATATAATATACATACACATATGTATAATTCATAAAGAGCCGGAAGGAACAAGTTGATAACCATTTAGGCTTCTATGTTAGACTCGAGAGGAAGTTGCCACCTCTTGCTTCCTCGCTTTGCTTTGCCCGGCCCTGTGTGACAACTTCCCGGGTGAGGACTGTTATGAAAGCTTAAACAGTTTAGGGCAGAGGGTTTAGGATATAGGGTTATACAAAATCTTATAAAACACCTAGAACCCTGTTTTTAAGCCTGCAAAAATGACGCAATGCAGAGAACCCTGTTTATAAGACTGCAAACAACTCCTTTGACGGGGTGGGACCGGCAGTCAGGGTGAGGCTTTGAATGTCAGGAAGAATGGGCCCTAGGCTTTTGAAAGGAAAGCTTCAGGGCTTGGGGTTTAGGGCTCCAAGATCATGGGTTCTTGAGGCTTTGGAGAGCTTCGGGTTCAAAGTTGACTGAGGAGGAAAGTCCTTTCGCAGGTGGATAAGGTAAGCGAGCTGCTATCAATATTGCGAAGGGCCAAACCAAAGGACGCATGGTCCCCCGTCATGGAACCGTAGTAAAGAAAAGTTAAGTAGTATGACCCTGATAGGGGCGGCAGCATGATCCCCACACAACATCCTATGCCATTCACCAATAAGGTCCCAAAGTCATTGACATAGGTAACACATCATATAAACTACACCAAGTTAGAGACTACCTGGACCTCTTTCAGGAGAACGTTTGGAAGAGCCAGGTTTGAACAACCTCCGTAGAATGCTGGTTTATAGAACCCTTGTGAAACCTTTCTGGAACGAGTACAGCACCCTTACAGATAGAACCCTATCAACTCCGTATAGAACCTGCAGCATCCTCACAGAACCCCAGAGAGCCCAATACCCCTTAATTAAGGAATATAGCTTAAATCATAATATGAAGCCCTGTATAATTTGAGCCATATTCCTTAATTAAGGGGTATTGGGCTCTCTGGGACCCGTCCAACAGCCGTCACCCAGACTATCCTCCCAGGGGGCTAACAAGAGCGACAAAAACATTTTTTCCCAAGCTCGCGGGGGGCTCTTTCTTCGAGATGTCTCGAGCTGCTCAGAACAGGTTGAAGGTGCTGTTCATCTCCATCCTTTTTAAGAAAGGTTCTTTGTTAGGGTTTTTGGCTAGATGCCCCCAAAAGTATTAACTCCTTCAACCCCAGACACCAAGAAATCTAAAGCTTGGGTACGAGAGGACTCCCCCCTTTTGGCAACCCCCTTAACCCTAAACCCTATCATAAGCCGACATTACAGCCGTGCCCTCATAATGGAACCCTTTAAGGGGACCCTTGAAGGAACCCTACTCTGAATATTTAGGCCCCTAGATTAAGGCCCCTAACCCCTAAACCCCCTAAAGCCTAAACCCTAAAGCCTAAGCCCTAAACCCCTAACCCCTAAATCCTAAACTCTAAACCCTAAACCCCTAAACCCAAAACCAGCGCCCTCGTTAAGCCCAGCGTCTCGTTGGGCTCCTGAAGCCGCCTCCTCGCTCCTTTGACCCGCTGGTGGCGGATGTAAAGGGCCGCCAGCACCAGAAGAACAACCACCTGGGAGTTTCCGAAAATAAGACCCCAATATAGTACCCTAAATAGTAGGATCCTTAAATGAGGTGCCCCTAAAGGGCCGCCAGCACCAGAAGAACCAGGACCTAGTCTATGGGGCTTCCTTACAAGGGGTGTATGGGGGTTCCTTAAAAGGGATCCATAGGGTTTAGGGTTTAGGGCCGCCAGCACCAGAAGAACCACGACCTAGGCAGAGTTTGGGGTTCAGGGTTTATCGGGGTTTTGGCATCCATCATAGTATAACTATACAAAGGACTATATAAGGGGAAAGTACTACGCACCAGAAGAACCACGACATAGGAAGGGTTTCGGGTTACGGTGCCTTTGGGCCCATTATAGTATACTATAAAAAGGACTCGGGGGAAAGTACTCATTACTAATTGTTCCGATTGAACGTAGGGTTGAGGGTCGTAGGCAGGTGGTGGTGGTGGTGGTGGTGGTGGTGTGTTTTTACGTGTCTCATTTCCGAAAGGAGCACCAAAGCAAAGAAGGAACAAGGGTACTATGGGGAAGCCTATCGACCGCAGCGACGATCCAGCCAACGTGGCTGTGGCTCCCCTTGGAAGGGGACGGAGCTGTCGTGGTCGTGCTACCATCGACGATGGTCTTGCCTTCGTCGTCCAGTGCGGGAAAAGGCCCGGGCATACCGTCGCGCTCTGGTGGAGGTGGTGGAGCCACTGCAGGAATGTGTTCAGGCTTGTCGACGTCGATGCCGAAACAGCGACCCTTGGTTACCTCAGGCACATGGCTCTCTTCTATGGTCAAGCATAGAAATAAGAGCTGTTAGTAACTACTATTAAAGTGATAACTAGTTACTTGCATTTGAAGTTTTCCACCTTCATTGGGTTCCGAGTCTTTGAGTTCTTCGGGTCACTTGCAGGCCCGGAGCAGCTAATTTTGAGAGAAAGCCGCATCGAAAACAAACCTCAAGCTCTTGAATTGTAGCCCCCACAAAACCCAGAGACTCCAATATCCCTTAACTAGGGCATAGACCTTAAATTATAATAGGATCCCTAATATGATTTAAGGAATATTCTTTAATTAAGGGATATTTCAGTCTCTGGGAACCTGCCCTTTTGAGAAAGCCAAGCCTTGTAGGTTCCCGAGCAGACAGTTGAATTGGTGTCCTGAAGCGTGGTCACCAGTCTTGTTTCCACCACGGTCTCCTGGGCGGACTTCTGAACCCCTCCTAAAAGTTAAACTTTCAGCCTAATTATTATAGTTCATATAGAAACCCAAAAAGTTAAAGCCCTAAGAACCCCTCCAAAAAGTTAAACTTTTAGCCTCCTTATTATAGTTCAGGGGGCTTAGTAAGTAGGGTTATAGGGGTCCCCTTTAAGGGATCTATAGGGGCAAAAAGTTAAAGCCCTAAGAGCCAACCAGAAGAACGCCAGGTCTCGGTCTCTTCGGAGCCTTTCTTGCTGAACGCGTAGAAGGCGACGAAGTAGCCACCGGCACTGGGCTTTTAGGGTTTAGGGTTTAGGGTTTTTGCAGTTCATGAACCAAGCACTTCCGTTTGTTTAGGTTCAACTGGTTCAAGCCTGAACAATCCAAATCTTACAAACTAGACTACTAATTACGACTACCCACAAAGCACAACGGAGCTTTGCGTCACCCTAAACCAAGAAAAAAACAACCCTAAACCCTAGAAGCCCTAAACCCTAAAGCCTACTTTGCATCACAACCCCTTCGAGAACTCAATGTTCCAGACTCGCTGAGGCTCGGCTCCTCTTCGGGCTTGTCAGGATCATGGAGGAGCGTCTTGGAAGTGCCTGAGTACTAGAGAGGCCTTAAGGATCAGAACCGGGCTTTGGGGGTATATTTTGCTGCAATCATAATAAGGAAGCCCCCAAAATGGTATGGCTAGTTGTTTCGGCCCATATATAACTTGTTAGCAGAGACAACTGAACTTGCACTAGCGCACACTTCTTGCTACTCACCCGCTACATAACCCCCATTGCTGAAGTGACATGCAACTCTGCAACAGCCAACGAACACAAAGTATCCATAACTCAACTTAACTTCCTTGACCCATCGAGAAACCCTATAACGTAGCTCTATGAAGTTTGATAAGTTCCTAAACAAGCAACATCGAAAAGCCTCCAAGACATTTTGTCCCTACGCCCTAAACCCGCACAAAACCCATATGGATCCCCTATAGAACCCTGAATGGAACCACCCATTATGCAGAATGTATAACCATAATCCGAGAACTCTGCCCTACTTGCTGAGTTTCTTGATCCTTCAAGCCCAAGCAATTAAGACCAGTTGCTGCAGGCATTCGGAAACTCGTGGGTCTCTTTGCTGCAGTCGATTTTCATCGACGGGCAGGCACAGCTGCCCTGTTGAGATGCCTTGGCTTGTCCGGTCTAAAGGTTTAGGGTTTAGGGGTTTAGGGGTTTAGTTTAGGGTTTAGGGTTTAGGGGTTTAAGGTTTAAGGTTTAGGGTTTAGGGGTTTAGGGTTTAGAGGTTCAGGGGTTTAAGGTTTAGAGTCTTAATATAGGGCCCTTAACAATTAGAATAGGGTTTTTGGGCTCACTCTACTGTAGCCATATCATGGAATCCCCACAGTAGTAGTAGTATTGGTAATTTTCAAGGCCCGCATTTTAGGGTCAGGGGGGTGGACAGAGGCCTTCCAATAGCCATTAGTGCAAGAATACTCCGAAATCGTACACCAGGATCCCTGTATGGTCTAGGGAGCGTTCCGTCAAACAGCGTGTTGGGAGATCTGGGTAGGGGACTGAAAGCTATCTGCTGCTTCGGAAAAGGTTCAAGGTCCTTAGCCCTAAACCCGAAGTTGTACAATGTTGTGTCAAGTATGCATTAAAACATATTACATCATACTGTAGATATTATATGAGACTATAGAACGTTCTATTCTGTGATGTTCGAGTATGTGACTTATGTTACATGACAGTAAGTAGCACAATATTTTATCATGTCATAGAGTTTTACATTAATTCAGATTTGGTTATGTTATGTCAATTGAAATACAACATCTTAGGTTTTATCTATGTAACTTATTAAGTTACGAGGCTTCAAACTCCCGCCACGAAAATGAATTTGAGCTTATTTCAGTATCTCATCTCATATCTTACCATGTTATTAAAAATCTTGTCACATTTCATTGCATCGTATGCTATTACGAACTGTTGTTATTATATATTCTGCCATAAATACGAATATTCTGCTATGTTACAAAAATCTATACACACACCATACAGTATTTCAATACGCTATGCTCAATCAGAACCTTGTATTACATCATGCTTTACTCTAGTCTATTCTGTTCTGCTCTGTCATGTTATGTGGGTGGTTGTCAAAAGTGGGTTGCCTTTTTTGGGTGCCCTAAATATTAGGTGCCGTACTATATTAAGGGCTCAAAAAGGGACCCTAATTTTGACAACCACCCATATGTACGCCTGCACTGAACTGCTAAGGTGCCGATTCCGGGCTTGCCTGTGCTGACTTCCCCTGCGCGGAGAAGGGCTCCACAAGCAAAGGGGCCTGCGGTGGAAGGCTGGGGTGGGTGGGGATGCTAATTAGAATAGGGCTCCTTCAAAGGGTCCCTGATATGGGATACTATAATCATAAAGGGTAGTATAGGGGCCTAGCTAGTTCGAATAGGGTTCTGGGCTACATTCTACTATAAATAGTTTATGAGGAATTTCGTTGGCTATTGTCAGAACCCTAAGTGGGAGTTTCCGAAAAGAGGGGACCCTAATATAGTACCCTAAATAATAGGATCCCTATTATGAGGACCCCCAAACAAGGTACCCCCAATTTTCGGAAACTCCCAAGTGAGGCAGATCGAGGTTGAAGCACGGGACAACCTGCAACCCTTGCCCTGCACCCTGAACCCGCAGCCTGCGAACCTCGCAACCCGATACTTCTCATCTTATCCGGTTTAGGGTTTAGGGGTTTAGGGGTTTAGGGGTTAGGGTTTAGGGGTTTAGGGTTTAAGGGTTTAGGGTTTAGTTAGGGTTTAGGGGTTTAGGGTTTAAGGGTCTAGGGCTACCCATGAAGCTTCCAGGTTCACATAGAGATGCCGAGAACAGAAACAAGGCCATTCAGCAGGTAAACAGCCCCCGCCTTATCAAGGATGGCAGTATGGATCCGATCTTGGGGCCCTCAAGGAAACAGGCTTACTACTGAGGGAGCTGCATTAACCTTAACATAGGTCCGAAGTAGTAGGATCCTCATCAGAACGACTAGAAGCCCTGAACCAAGCCATATTCGTTTAGCAGAAAAGACACGCAATGAAGCCTGAAGTTTAGGGTTTAACCTAGACCCGAAGCCTTAATCCCGAAATGTCAGGGCTTGTCGTGTACAGCCCGTAACCCGTCATTCCAAACTAGCGACCCTTTAAACCCTAAAACCTGCCTGCGAGCATATCTGAAAACAGTCTGCCAGCTTCTGGGAAGTCGCCCAGGTGGGTTTGCAGCTGTCTGAGCCTTCCTGTATGCTTCTTAGGGTACTTGGATTTAGGGTTTGCGCTGTAGGGTTTAGGGCTTAGGTTTTAGGATTTAGGGCCTAGGGTTACTCAGTAGCCAAACTAGCATAGGGATGTGTGGTAAGCAATGTGTTAAGGTGCTTCACGGCCTGTAGGTTCTTACATGAAAAGCCTCAGCTCTCGATTCTATAATGAGGGGTCCGACATTTTCAAAAGTTTACGTGACATCACCCAGTCCTCTGTGAGGTTACGTTGCAGCTCCAGTGTGCACTCGTCCTCCGGGGCTGGGGGTGCACCGGCGTGCAGCCAGACGATGGCCAGGGCGACGAGACGGGCGCCGAACATCGTTGCCCTCTTATTTAGAGACAATAATACTTTGTCAATGCTTCTCCTTGGCTCCTTGTAATAGCTAGACAACAACTTTCCCTAGAAGACCTGCTCTAATTATGAAGGCCCCTGTTGTATATACCTGCCCTATTACTACGACGATGGCAGCGGCTGCTGTGCTGGCTTGCATGAAGTGCAAAGTTTCTGCTGAACATGGAGCTTGGGCCTCCGACAGCGCCTTAGCCACTGGGTCTAGCAGCACATGCATGGCAGAGCGAGAGAGAGAGAGAGAGAGAGAGAGAGAGAGAGAGAGAGAGAGAGAGAGAGAGAGAGAGAGAGAGAGAGAGAGAGAGAGAGAGGGAGAGTGAGAGAGAGAGAGGGAGGAAGAGACAAAGGGTAAAAGGATACTGGAGCAGGAAGCTCGGGAACATCTTCAGGTAGTAGACAGCCCGACCGTACTGAGGACAAGTCCGTTTGGTGCGGTGACCATGGCCCTGCAAACGCCGAAATCGATGACGACCACCTCCCGTGGTGAAGCTGAAGGGTGCTCAGGGCGACTCATGACCCAATCTCTAGTTCTTCGGGACCTACATTCAAATCTTGAGCCCTGAAGAACAGCCCTCTTTACCACAAGAAAACATGGATGCCACGGTTTTGGCCCTGAGATCATGTCAAACACAACTGGTCAATACCGTCTAGACCTTTGCGAGAGCTCTCAAAATCTTCAGACTTTTGCTGCCCGAACCGACAAGGCGAAGTCGTAAGGATTACTTTTTCCGTCAAACATACTGTTTTTAAAAAGCTAAACCCAGGAGGGTATCCAGAAGCATCAACAAGTACAATAAGGCTTTGGTTCATGCTATATTAGAAGTAAAATTAGGAGCAACAAAAATCGAACCCAAGAGCGCCCAGGACATATAGTTACCATAGTTGTAATATGATATAGTACAGTACAGTAGTTTATAATGTAGTATAGTACCGTATAGACAGAAGATGAGGGGCGACAACGCCTTTCTGGAACAGGGCACCGTCATGCAGCAGAGCAAGAGAGTTTGCTTGGACACGAAAGCTTCTGCATGGGTTCTGCAGGGCCTGGATAGAACGCCTTCCCCTGGTCTCATGCAGCCTTCGGCCAAGAGTGGTGAGCAGCATGGACGGTGGTTGTGCCAAGCATACCTCACACTGAAACGGCTCTAGCCAGTCTCTTCGGTCAGAATTCGTGCGCACTTTGTGCCAGAGGACTTTGCATTGTCTGCACATCTCCTGGCTCATGTTCGGGCGACGTAGTCCAAATTGCCAGACTTGTGTCAACCCTGCGCCCCCAACAGCTCTAGACTCCTAAAACCCAGAAGCCCTTAAACGCCTGAGTCCTACTCCCTCAGGCACCCTAAATTAGCAATTTCTGAACTGCAAGCCTGAACCCTGAGAGCCCAATACCTCTTAACTAAGGAATATAGCTTAAGTTATACTAGGAAGCCCCTTATAACTTAAGGTATATTCCTCAATTAAGCGGTTTTGGGCTTTCTGGGAACGCTGAACCTCTCAACCCGCAAAACCCCCAAAAACGCCTAGACCCCGAGCTCCGAAGTCCTTAAACCCCTGAGCCCTGATGTAGGAACCTGATTAAGAAACCTTGGGCCGAAGGGTTCCTTTAAATGGGTCTATAACAACTATTTGCTTAAGAACCACCCAAAAAATAAAAAATATTTTCCTTATGGGGGTAATATAGGGATTATCATTTTTATTTTTTGGGGGTTTCTTAAGCAAATAGTAGATAAGGGTTACTATAAGGGATCTATAAGGGTACTATACTGGTGTAGGAACCTGATGAAGAAACCTTGGGGCCTTTATTAGGGTTACTTATATAGGTGGTTGTGAAAATGATGGTCCCTTTTTGGGTCCCTTATATAGTACGGCACCTAATATTTAGGGTACCCAAAAAGGGACCATAGTTTTGACAACCGCCCGTATGAATCCTACTGTTTTTGGGTTACAGGCCCAGGGTTTCTTAATCAGGTTCCTACATTACACACACCCAAAACAAACACAGCGGACTCGATGATTCGATTAGAATAGGGTATCGGGGCATACTTCACCATAAGGATAACACGGAGCCCTAAGCAACAATATGGGTAGCTATTCTCAGAATTAGCATCCACCCCCTTAAACCCTGGGTTCGTGAGTAGCACCTTTACAGCAGGGGTGCCCTTTGTTTCCTAATACTCTGTTTTGTTTTAAGGGGCCCAAACAAAAAAAGAGTAAAAGGGTACTACTCAGGAAACCCGCATAGTACCCGTACAGAACGCTCAAAGGGACCCTAATAAGAGCCCCTACAGCATCCTTAAAGGGCAAAAGGGTACCACTCAGCTACGACTACGAAGCATTTAAATTTAGTTGCTGAGTTCATAAGCCCCAACAAGTGTACGCTTTTGGTTCTATAGTGGGTAGCATTATCCCGAAAAGTGTAAAGTGTATCCACCTACTTTGTAAAACCTAGAACCCTGAACCCTCAAACGACTTAGGACCCTCCGCCGTCGAATTCGCCTCCGGCTGCCGGAAGTCCCGCGACTTGATCATAATGTTGGGCTCCTGATTTTTTGGGCTTCAAGGGCTTAGGTGGGGTGTAGGGTTTTACGGGATCAGGACTTCGGATCATAATGTCGGGCTCCTGATTTTTCTCGGGCTTCAAGGGCTTAGGGTTTAGGTGTTTAAGGTTTAGGGGTTTAGGGTTTAGGCTTTCGGATCATAGTGCTGAGCTCCTGCTGTTGAAGGGTTGAATCTTCCAAAGGTCCCATGGGGCTTAAGGGTTTAAGATATCGGATCAAATTGTTGGGCTGGTGATTTCTTGTTGATTTGTTTTAGGGGTTCCAATGGGGTGTAGGGTTTTACGGGATCAGGATTTCGGATCATAATGTTGGGCTCCTGATTACAGGGGTTTGGGTTTAGGATTGGTTGAGTGCTCAAGGTTTGGGTCTGAAGGATCTAGTGTGTTAGGGTCGAAAAATATTAGGCTTGTTTTCGAAGGCAATGTTGGGATGCAGCGTTGGGCTCCTGGATGAAGCTATGTTTAGTTGTTTATAATCAATTCCATCATGCTTCTTCCTCTTCTGCCTAAGCTTTGCAGTCTTGTGCTTGAGGGGGCTCAGGGTTGAGGCCATGCTTAGGACATGCTGCTTGTTGTCTTTACCTCTGTTACAGAACAAGCAATACTCCTTAGTGTGTTCATTTTTGACCAGCATTTTTTCGGCATGTTTTGGGTTTAGAGTTTGTAGTTTTGGGGTCCTTTGTTGGCCTCCTGGTTGCAATGCAAGGGCTTTCGAAAGCCTTCCCCAGCGAAACCGGTAGGCCATGAGTGTACTTCGGGACAGCTAGTGGCAGGTTTGCAAATCAAGCGTCAAAGTTTTAGACTTGTCGGAGACCCTGAACCATTTTCCTCATGAGAACCCACAAGGCTTAGCAGGCTGGGTGTGGGAGTTCTGAGTTCTGCAAAAGCCTCGAACGGATGTGGGCTGGTTCGGGCTTAGAGTTTAGTATGTTTTTGTTCAAGCAGCAACGTCTCGGGATTTCTGAGCGGGGGCCAAGTCCAGCAGCATGTCTTTAGCATCCAGAGAGCTTTTGGACCTACTCTTGAATGCAAGTCTTTGGGTTCAGTCCCTAACTGTCGAACCCGGACAGTGAAACCCACCTGTGCGTGGGGATTCATCACGCCCCCGATGCTTGAAGCATCTTCGACAGGTGGGGGTTCGATCTTCCTCATCCTTGTTCGGGCATAATCGGCAGTCCTCGTATCTACTCTCCATCCCCAGAGACTCCAATATCCCTTAATTAAGGAATATTCCTGAAATCATAATAGGGATCCTATTATAATTTAAGGTATATTCCTCATTAAGGGATATTGGAGTCTCTGGGTCCCCAGAGCAAAAACCTGAATCGGAGTGTTTGGCAAGCCTAGTCTTCGAGCGTCGTCAAGCAGATGTTCATCTCCGATGCAAGATTAGATTCATGTCCCTCGCTGCCACAAATCTTACCTTTGGTTAGTAGGGAATGGAGGAATCGGATACAAATATAACTACTATTACTACCATTCTTCCATTCCCTACTAACCAAAGGTAAGACATGTCGTCAGCTTCTACTCCAGGGGCATCAGGCGGAGACAGCGCCAGCTGCTGGTCAATCGAGACAGGACTTAAGCCCTAAACCTGTAAACCCCCACGACTTTGGTATTGGTTTCACCGTCGGATGTCTTATTACCATCTCTGGACCGACCACCACGACCCTAAACCCTAAACCCCTAAACCCTAAATCCCTAAACCCCCAATCCCTAAACCCGTAAACTCCAAACCCTCCGACCGGGCTGGTGGTTCGGAGGGTCTTGCACCGCGACTAAGTCGTCCGTGTGCTGAGTCACAGTTTTCAAGGCATTCATGAAAATTACCGAACCCAATGGACTTCCTCCCCCCTCCGTTGAATCGAAGCAAGTTCAAACCGAATGTCGAATACATGCACTCAAAATTCTCTTTGCTATGATTTCCAGAACCATATATTGCATGAAAAGAACGCTATAGAACCCTTGAAGGAGCCCCTAAACAACCGTCTTGCAAAACACCCATCCGACCTTGATGTCGCAATGCATCATGGACTGCTCGTGCATGAACTCCAAAGCCTGCTGGGGTTCGGAAGACGCAGGGGGCTTCGTTTCTGTTTGGGAGCGGCTTTAGGCTGCAACAAGGGGCCTTATAATATTTTCGATTTGAATGCGTTGGAAAGGCTGCTGTAAGAAGTACTTTGAGGGTTGCAAGCCCAGAGGTAACTCTTCTGTAAGGGCGCTAGGTGTGAAGGGTTGTTAGAGTTGAGGCAAGCTCGAATTGAAACTCTCTCTCTCTCTCTCTCTCTCTCTCTCTCTCTCTCTTCGGGGCTGAAATAGGCTATCCCTACCCCGACTAAAGTCAACCTGTTCAATTATGCTGGGATTATATGGGTGGTTGTCAAAATTATGGTCCTTTTTGGGTCCCAGTTATAATACGGCATAACCATGTAAGCCCCAAAAGGTGAAAGGCTACCCACACAGCTACGAAGCTCTTCAACATGGTCCTAGGGTTTAGGTTGCTGCGGTCTAGGGGCTATGGGAGTGTTGGGGTTTAGGGTTCAGGGTGAACTGGTGCTTGGGGGGCTTCCTAGGGCTTTAAGGCTCGATGTTGGCTGTTTAGGCCTGCGGGCTCGGTCGGATGCTGCCTTTATCCGCCTCTGGGGGTTTCCGAACATTAGGGGTACCCTTAAAGGGATCCTTTAAAGGCTTCCTTAAAGGGATCTAGAAAGGTTGTGTAACGGGTCTAGGGTTTAGGGTTTCCGAAGATTAGGGGTACTTTATTTTGGGGTCCTTATAATAGGGATCCTACTATTTAGGGTCCTATATTAGGGCCCTATTCTCGGAAACCCCCATATACCATCAGATGCCCGTGAGAACCTATTACTACGTCCCCTGATCCTTTGCCCACACTCCTGGAGGCATGCAGAAAATGGAAGCCCCCACCCCCACGCTATCCAACCACTGTATGGGTTAAGATATCAAGGGTTCCATGTTTTTGGCCTCGCATCCCTAGTCCCTAAACCATCAACCCTTGCCTGATCCTCTAGGAAAGGTTTACGATGATACTTGCATCATGTTGTATACCCGTAAGCCCTGTGCCCATTGTTGAGGCCCCGCACTATTTTGGGATTTTCCGAAAATAGGGGACCCTAAAACAGTACCCTGAATACTATGTACGCCAAGCCCTGTGCCCATTGTTGAGGCCCCGCACTAATGTGGGATTTTCTGACAATAGAGAGACCCTAGTAAATTTTAAGGACCCCAAAATGAGGTACCCCTAATTTTCGGAACTCCTGAAACCTAGACCCTTTATAGAACCTTTCTAGATCCCTTTAAGGAACCCTTTAAAGGATCCCTTTAAGGGTACCCCTAATTTTCGGAAACTCCTACATCCGCCAGGCCCTGTTCCCTTGCTTGAGGCCGCGATCAGGCTCTGCCTCCGCGCATTGCCGAAAGATGCCGCGCCACCAATCCTGGCTCGGGCAGCTGTGGAATTCGGTTTAATCCCTTATTAATTAGACTACAAGGGGTCTATAAGGGTTACTATGAGGGTTTGATATAGGGGCCTCCATAGTTTCAATAGGGTTCCTTTAAAGGGTTTCTTTTTAACGGGTCTATATAAGGATTACAGAAAGGCTACTAGAAGGGTTTCGAGCAGGGGCCTGAATAATTAGAACAGGGTTTTGCAGCCCATTATACTACAATTGTAATTTGGAGCCCCCAAAATAGTATAGGTAACTTTTAAGGCCCCTACACTAGGCCGTCTCGACTTATTTCCGCAGCCCCTTTTGAGTCACAGCTTTGCGGGTTGGGCTGAGGGTTGTGTCGGAGCTTTCAGGGCTCCATCAAAGCCTTCAGGACGGTCTGGTGGATGGGACATCCATATTGATAATAGTATGAATTTTGGCTCTATACTTGGAGGATCATGGAACTTAGTAAGTAGGGTTATAAGTACCTTAACTGGGGTTATAAGTAGTTATAAGTATGATTACCCTAGTTATAACCCCAGTTACTAAGTCCCATGATGCTTAAGGGTTAAGGGTTTCCGAAATTAGGGGTACCTTATATTGGGATCCTTATGATAAGGATTCTACTATTTAGGGTCCCCTTTTTCGGGACTAGTATGAGTATTCGTATTACTAGTCGTGCACGCATGGCTTTCTTCTGGGCATTGCCTCGCCGTCCTGACCACTGCATCGGCATTGCGGCGCATCGCTACGGTTGATGATACAAATCCTGCATTACCCATGATAAGGAATATACCATAATTCCCATAGTTTAGGGTCCTTGAGTTAGTGGAGGATTTTCTTATCATCAACAGTAGAATGGGGCTCTTGCAGCATTTCGAAATCATCACGGGCTGGATGAAGGTCAACTCTGTTTGCACCAAGGAACAAGGAACTTTTACACACGAGCTGCGCGATCGTTTCAACCCCCTCCCCCCTAAGGGAACAATAACTTCAGCAATCACAGACAGAATCACAGGTCATTGAAGCTACTGTAGGGGCCATAATAACTCATTCATTGTAGTACCCCATTATAGATTCCTGTAAAGGAACCCCATTGAAGCTAAAGCGAAGCTCAGCATGATCCCTTGAAGGAACCCTTAAGGATCCCTCTTATAGAACCTTATTATAGACCCCTATAGACTTCTTTAAGGATCCCTTTAACGGCCCTTGCATGGGAATTTCCGCAAATAGGGGACCCGAATATAGCATCCTAAATAGTAGGATCCTTATCAGAAGAACACCAATTACCACCCAATTTTCGGAAACCCCCATATAAAGCGAAGCCAAGACCCCTATATAAACCGGACTTTGAAGTAACCAGGGAGAAAAAAGTATGGACTTTTATTACATAATGGCTCCTTTAAAGAACAGGCACCAATAAACGTATTCAAGCATGGTACTCCAAACCCTATATAAAGCGAAGCTAGGCATGGCACGGGCCTCGGACCCTATAGTAGCCCTTTATAGATCCCTTTAAAGGAACCCTCTTCAACATTAGATCCCTTTAAGGAACCCTAAGTTGAACCCTATATCCCTTTAAGGAACCCTAAATAGTAGAATCCTTATTACCCCTAATTTTAGGAAACTCCCCTATCTTTCAGCCTTTAAAGGCTCCGACTTAAAGCGAAGCTAAGCGTGGCAGGGGCTCCTCGGTCATGGGCACCTGCTGCTCCTTGGCGCGCTGAGTCAGCGTCATGAAGTCACCGCCGTGGTAAGGCTCGCCGACCATGTAGTAGAACCTGGGGGTTTAGGCTTTAGGGTCTGAGGGTTTTAGGGAAGGCTTTAGGGTTTTAGGGGTTTAGGGCTTTGGGGTTTTGGGGTTTAGGGTTTAGAGGTTTCGGGTTGGGGGACTTCTGAACAACAATAGTGGCGGCAACGCCGACAGCGATACTGTCGACGCGACCGGCACACTGCTACCAATACAACATTACCAAGTGCAACTAAGACTTGGACGACTACTACGACCACGACGCGAACGGCTTACTCCAGCTGCTCCTCCTCCTCTTCCTACCACCATCACTGCCCGCATGCCTGCTTGCCTGCTGCCGGCCCACCCACCGACCTGCCTTCCCACTTACCGACTTCCCTCCCTTCCTTCCTACGTCCCTCGCCTCCTCCGTCCGCCCCAACCTAATCGTCGCCACGCGAAACCCCTCAACGACACATGACACATCCTCAAACACCTGGGAAGATCTAGTTTTCCATAAAGAAACTTCTAACATCATCCTACTTCCCACGCAGGTCTGACGAGTTCTAAGCGCCCAGAGCCATTTGCCTTGCCTTCCCAAATACCGTCGGAGCTCTGGCCCTGCAAACACGGCCGAGTCCCCCGGCTGAGCATCCTGAAAGATCTCAAAGACCTGGGAGGCTTCAAGTATGAGGGTTGAGTTTCTTCTTATTTGGGAGTTTTCGAAATAGGCGACCCGAATGTAATACCCTTAATAGTAGGATCCTTATTATAAGGACCACAAAGTGAGGTGCCCTCCAATTTTCGGAAACTTCCACTTGGGGCAGGGGAGGGAGGGTTCAATCGGATTCACGTTTGTTTAGAGTTGGTACGGCTGATGATATAAAACCTGCACTACCTTAAGGAGCCTAAACTATGGGAATTATGGTATATTCCTTATTATGGGTAATGCAGGATTTCTATCATCAACCGTATGTCTCAGCAAGCTCGGTCGGAGGGGCTTGAAAGTCTTAAGATGTAAATGAAACGCGTACGTTGCTTTGCCTCCGCTGTTGAGTTTACGGATACTGTTGATACATGTGTATAAATATGTACATATGGTATATTATATACATATATACTTAAAGAGTCATATGCCAATGTACTTTCATACTTTTAAACTTACATATTTCTATATTTACTTACTTAGATACTTACATGCTCTCTCGCTCTATATATATCCTTTGAGCTGACAAGTTCATCGGCCAACCAGATTGTTCTTGCACTTCTAGTGGGGCGTTAAAACCGCATATCCCCTAAACCATAGACCAACAGACCCGCAAAATCGTGCCACAAAGCCCGACAGCATGTACAGCAAACTGTAAACTCAGAAGCCCTCGACTGAATCAGAGAGCCCTCCACCCAATAACGCCTTAAGAAGAAAACCTCACACCAATCCCAAAGCTCTAAAGCATTAAGACGATCCTAGAGTCTGAACCAAGGCTCTTTCAACATGCCAAAAAAGTAAGTCCTCTCCATGTAGATAATTGTGGTTTAAGTTTATAGCGGGTAGGGTCAAGCGAGCCCGGCGAATTAGAGTTCTTCCATGGGCTACGCAAGGCAAACCGGCACTGTTTTGCCCCCACCTGGGCGATGTTGTCGTGCGCCAGAAGCTGTAGCCTCAGCTATAGCGGAAGTGAGAGGGCATGAAGCAAGGTCATGACTGCCGACTGCTATGCAGTTCGGAAACTCTGAACCTTAAACCAAAATACCATTCTTTTAACCTGCTGGTGCAATCTCCTGATCCCCTCAAGAGGGTATAGGGCTCTGGCCGGCGCCGTTTTTCCAGCGCTTACTTAGGGCTTGGGCTTAGGTTTAGCTTGTGTTTAGGAATTGAGTAGTAAAGTATGCGTTGCAGTAGTTCTTCTTGTCACCTGCATCGTGCTGCTGTTTTGCCACTGTGAGGGTTCGCGATACCGAAAGATAGTTTCTCTTCCAGTTACTTTTTTGGGGTACTATAAGAGTACTATGATATAGGGTAATATAGGGCCCTTAATAATTAGAATAGGGGCTCCTTTAAAGGGTTGAAGCACTTGCTGAACGGCTCCGCCTTTTGTAGTTTAGGACCCGTTTTTCCGTGCTGGTCTGAGCCGAAATCGGGGAGCAACGGTTGATGCTACAAATCCTGCATTACCCATGATAAGGAATATACCATAATTCCCATAGTTTAAGGCCATTAAGGTAATGCAGGATTTATATCATCAACCGCATGACGTTTTGTAGTGATTGGAGTTGCTGCATAGAGTAGAGAGACAGAGAAACCCCACAACCAAGCGTCGACACCACACCTAATGTTTGGGTCGTTGGGGACTTGGTAAGGAAGTCTCAAGTTAGACAGGATTTGGAGTGGGCTAGCGTGTTTGGAGAATGCCTGAAACCCCTGTAATGGCTGTCTTGTTAGTCCCCCTTTCCTTTCAATATGCTCCCTCAGCTTAATCCAAGCCCCCAATCCATGAAGAGCTCCAGATTAAGCCCAAAAGATAGAACCAATTTAAAACCCTATCGAAGTACCCCAAATATGATCTCCCGGGGGTCTGGCTAAACCCTACACCATAACCCCCAAACCCTACTTGGAGGATCGTGGGACTTAGTAAGTAGGGTTACAAGTACCTTAACTGGGGTTATAGGTAGTGAAAAGTATAGTTACCCTAACTATAACCCCAATTACTAAGTCCCATGATCCTTCAAGTACAGAATTACATATACTATTTGGGGGTTCCTTATTCTAAGTAGAGTATAATGGGCCCCAAAACCTTATTCGAATCATTAAGGCCCCTGCATTATAGTACCCTTATAGATTCCTCATAGTATCTCTTATAGACCCTTTAAAGGAACCCTATTCTAAGAATTAAGTCCCCTGTATTACCCTGCTACGAGGCGTATATTACACCCTACACCCTTTAGCCCTCTTGGGATCCCGGGCGTCTGAAACTCTTCTTGCAGCTCTTCGATGCCTGCTGCACTCATCCTGGCACTGCTCGCTGGATGTGAATGCTTCGGCTTTGAAAGTTTAGGGTTTAGGGTTGAAGGTTTAGGGGTTTTTGGTTTGAAGTTTAGGGTTTTGTTTAAAGATTAGGGTTTAGGGTTGAAGGTTTAGGGGATTTTGGTTTAAAGTTTAGGGTTTCGTTTAACGTTTAGTGTTTACGGTTTAAGGTTTAGGATATAAGACTTAAAGTCGAAGGTTTGGGGTTTGGCGATGAGGGTTTGCGATTATGCGTAGGATGTCGGGGTGTGGTCTTGTTGTACACGGTTTTTTCGTTGTCTGGTTTCTGTCAAACAGGGATACATCAAACACTACAGCTACATCCACGTACATACATATATATGCATATATGTATCAGCATCTATGTATATTTGTATATATATATATATATATATATCGCTCTCTCTCTCTCTGTCTTTGATTTTCTTGGTTGTGCCACAATAGCTCAGAACCCTTAAGCCTGAACTCATAACCCCATCCCTGTCGTAGGAGTCGTGCTGAGGTGCGACGAGTTGGCTGTGTGTCGTAGACCCCGAAGCCCTACAGCAGAAGCCTAAAAGTTGGAAACCCGATAGCCTCAATCCCTAAGAGCAAAGCAAAGGGAATCCCAGCACGATTTGTCCTTAATTAGGTTTCCAACTTTTTGGAGTTTACAATAAACCCCTGAGTTGATGGACCCCAAGTCCCTGAAGCTCCGACGCGAAGGCGAAAACCCTGAAACACACTTGGGTAGTTGTCAAAATTAGGGTCCCATTTTGGGTCCTTATTATATTACGGCACCTATTATTTAGTTAGGGTACCCCAAAAGACTTGTGTCCGGGTTGGTTTTCGTGTTTTGAGGTTTTGAGGTTAGGGAGTACCAGTAGGGTCAGGATGACCGCTAAGGTTGACTTTTGGAGTGGAAGACTCACTTGCAAGCCATGCCGGCGGCACGTGTCTTTCTTCAAGCACTTGACCTGGACTAAAGCGAACAAGCGGCTTAGGGTTTGCGGGCTTAGGGACTTTTTGGGAAGTGCACAGCACGGAGTGCAATATCATCGGAGTGGTGATGATGGCGGTGGCAGTTGAGCACGGCTTGACTACTCGTTCGTATTACCACTATTGCTGCGGGCACGGCTTCCTCCAATGGTTTGATCATTGTTGCTATTCTCATGTGAGTTGCATTACTGGTGGAGAAAAATTTGCTCGAAAATGCAAGGTTTACACCTAGATCAGTTGCCAGGTCAGTTTTCGGACTGAAGTCCTGGCACCATCCTTCTCACTGTAGGGGCCTCCATCATTAGAATAGTTTGGATACGGCCCCCACTCAGTAACAGTTGAATAATATTCATAATATAGATGTATTAGGACCTTCATAGTAGCCCGTTTATAGACTCTTGCTGTAAAAACCTCCATCATTAGAATAGGGTTTTGGACCACCAAAGCACGCCCACTCTCGCGTCGACTTAACATGCAAATCCTGCACCCGAAAGGCTTCATGGGCAGCACACATAAAAAATTGAATGTGTCGTTATCTTAACCCATATTGCTACGTAAAGGATCCAGCAAGATAGGTCAAGGAACAATGCGAAACTTAGCATACATTACATATCCTATGCAATGCTAGGAACAAGGTTCAACAAGAGCGAACCTTACGGCATGGCCTCGTCTTAAGCGATGCAATGCTAAGGAGAAAGAGCCCAACATATAGACTTTTTGAAGGCCGATTCGTCGAACAAAGCCCTGCCAGAACCAAATTCACAAAGCAACCCTATCAGCCAGAAACCTTCAGCAGAAACACATTTAAAGGCAAGAAAAGGACCCAAAAAGATTTACACCCGCGAGCAAGGCGTTCTGGAGAAGTTGAAGTTGTAACTCCCTGCTGAACATCATGTAGAAGAACGCAAACGCAAAGGCGTCAAAACAAGCTGGAAGAGAGACCTGCACTAAACCGCCCCATGAGATGTTCCGGATATAGCGGTAGGGTACCTTTCCTGTGAACATGTTTTCGATACAGCCACTATAAGGTTTCTTGTATCTCAACACTTGTGAATTCGCAATAGTATTTCGTCATGGTGCCTGAAGAACTTTACTATGATATACGCCACAACCCCATTCTAGAGTTTCATGCTGCTGTATTCAGACACATACACTCCCGGTTCTTGTTTTCTGGCCCCTACAGTACTACTGCTCAGCATTCGGGTGCCTGCATTCATCCGGGAAGAGGTCCCGGTGACCGAAGCCTAACACCCTAAACCCTAAACTCATAGGACCCTTTGGGGGGGTAGGGGAAGGGGGGGTAGGGGGCCTTAAATGCCACAATAAGATCCTCACTGTCATGTCCACATGCTCGAAAAATCATCATAATTGCTTCCGCTTGTATTCTTGAGCTTCCCATCGCACAGCAGCCCTTCGAGTGCTTCTCTGAATCTCTTTCCCAAGATCTTGCCATTGTTGGCAACATCATTAATCAGGTCATACATGAACTCAGCACACTTGGACATCCACCAGGCCTGGGGCTTCGTTTTCAAGGCCCATTTTCTGGGTCCGGAAGCTGGTGGAACAATAGTGCTCCAAATGTCTTCGGACGCGACGCTCTTGAGGTGGTTGGCAATGGCCTGTTGGTATTCACCAACTCCTTTCAGGGGATCTGCGATTAGCCTCTGCGCCTTCTTGGAGGAGGGTCCCTATGACTAAACCCGGAAACCCCAAAAGAGGGATTGCGCTGCTTCGCTCCCGACTCCCTGAAGCCTAAATCCCAGACTACTACCCCCCCAAACCCGAAATAGGAAAACCCTAAACCATAGAATCCTAAACCATAGAACCCTAAACCATAAAACCCTAAACCATAAAATCCTAAACCATAGAATCCTCAACCATAAAATCCCAAATCCACAGCACTCAGTCCTAACCTCATAAATCCGAAACCCCTAAACCCACACAAAGAGCCAGAGAGCTCCGCCTAAACCCCCCCGAAAGCCCGGAAGCCAACGAAATTCTGCTGCTCAGCCCCCTTTCTTGAAAAGCTTTAAGTCCTAAACAACTACTGCCTTGAACTCCCAACCCTGAATTCCTAAACCTCAAAGCTACTAAGAACCAGGGAGCTCTACCCGAAAGCCTCAAGCCCTAAAGCCCTAAAACCCTAAACCCTAAAGTCCTAAACCCTACAGTTCTGAACCCTGAATTCTAAACCGTCCTAAACCCGAAAGCGCAAAAAACAGGGATTCGGCTGCTCAGCCCCTGGCGCAGAACTCACGGCCGGTCGGATCCTGTGCCCGAAGCCGTTGGAAAGCTCAGTTCCTTTACCTATCGGTTTTCGGGTTATTGGGGTTTGAGGCTTCAGCATGTTTTTAGGGATTGAAAGATTTCAAAGGCTGTTGAGGGTTTACGATTGAGGGATTTAGGATTAGGGTTGCTAAAGAGCCTTTGACAGGTTCTGTTGGGGTTGGGGCCGCGGTTCAGGGCTTTAAGGGAAAGTCCGCCCAAACCGAAAAACCTCAGAACCTTGAGTTGGGCCGTTGCTTGTGACAGTCGTTGTCCCGGACCGCTTGTTCACTTGGCGTTGGAAGACTAGCAATAAGAATCGTCGTAGTAGTTGTTGTAGCAGCAGCAGCAGTAGTGGTAGTTGTAGTGGTAGTGGTAGTGGTAGTGGTAGTGGTAGTAGTAGTAGTAGTAGTAGTAGTAGTAGTAGTAGTAGTAGTAGTAGTAGTAGTAGTAGTAGCGGTAGTAGTAGTAGTAGTAGTAGTAGTAGTAGTAGTAGTAGTAGTAGTAGTAGTAGTAGTAGTAGTACTAGAACTACTGCTACTACTACCACTACGGCTACTGGTTATTGTAGCCATATGATGCGTCCTTCAGGTCGGTTAGGTCTTGAAAATGGCCTCTCACGCCACAGACTTGCCAGGTAAATTTGTTCGACTTCGGCATTCGATGGAGGTCTTCCTCCCCGACAGCTCTTGTGCCAGCGGCTTATCTTAGTTGCTGAGTTCATAAGCCCCAAAAAGTATACACTTTCAGTTTTATAGTGGGTAGTATTATCCCAAAAGTGTATCCACTCAGCTACTAAGTTTTGAAATCCCGGAGGTTCTGCCGGTCGTCCATACGGGAACCCTTTCAAAACAGCGGCGGAACACACGGAAGCTCTGCATAGGCATGCGCTGTATATGCCAGCTTCGGCAGGGCTTGTAGGGCTGCTGCACTGGACAAACCTCGAATTTGGCAATACTTAATTGGCGACGCAGTCTAAGCCCTGTGCAGAACAGCATTCGCATGATCAGGACCTTTGGGATGATATGGGGATTATGGTACACCCCCCCCCCCTCCCCCTAAAAAAAAAGATAAACGCTTACTTACTGGACCACTACGGCAGAATCTCTCGGCGCTGACGGCCCTGCGCTTGAGCGGCTTCGCAAACTTTCGGCCTGGTGTCCAAGCCCGTATGGCAGCACTGATCGGTGTAACCCTTTGTACTCTCACACCAGTACTGGCGGCACTTCTCGTCCCGGCATGACCGACACCCTCGTTCCACGCACTCGATCACCTGGGTGGTTGTCAAAATTAGGGTTCCTTTTGGGGTACCCCAATGAATAGGTGCCGTATTATAATAGGGACCCAAAAAGGGGACCTACCTTTTTAGGGTTCCCTAATGGACCGTCATTTTGACGACCACCCACCTCGGTGACGGCCTGCTGGAAGCGAGTTTTGCAGCGATAGGTGTCCGGCTCCGGAGCTTCTCGCTCGGTTTCGTCGCCTTTAAAGGGGATCTATAGGGATTCTATAAGGGTATAGGGTTTAGGGTTTAGGGTTTAGAGTTCTTCTAGGATACCCAGTAACCTAAGAATAAAAAGGCCTCTCTTTTTGGTATTGGGTAACTTTATAAGGGACCTAGGACTACAAAAAGGGAATAAGGGTACTACTGGGCATCCTAGTCGCAGCATGTAGGAACTTGCATGGCTTCGCAGAGGTCGCACCCTAGGGCTGAACTTGCCTTGGCTGACTTCTGAACCCCTCCAAAAAGTTAAACTTTTAGCCTCCTTGTCATAGCTCATCTAGAAACCCAAAAAGTTAAAGTCTAAAGAGCCAACCAGAAGAACGCCAAGTTGCGTGAGCACAACCGCATTTCTTTTCGAGACAGAACGTCACTGCCTGCTCCCATTGACAGCTCCCCAAGGCATCCCCCTGAAGGCCAGCACACTGGCATATCTGTGGAGGATGGCTCACGTTCTGCTGCACGCAGCAGGCAGCAACACGAGTTGAATCCTCCCGACAGAGCCTAGGTTCTGAATAGCCCCTTTATAACAAGGGTACCCAAAACTAAAAACGGAAAAAAGCTTACTATTCAGGAACCCCTAGAGTGCCCTTATAGAACCCTTAAAGGGGCCATTATTAAGGCAAAAAGGCTACTATCTCAGGAACCTCGGAGCTGGCAGGCCTCCCCGGAACAGCCCTGGCAGCCAGCTTGCGCGCAAGCTTTCACCGCTTCGGCAGTGGCAGCACTCTCGCACATGTCTGGCGGTGCTACCGCCGAGTGGTGATGCTGTTGGCAGCAGTCCTGGATTTTCTCCGTGTCCCTTTCGCAGGAAAAGTAGGAATCACCAGAGATGCCGTGGCAGCTGGTCGCCATGCAAGTCTTCACATCCTGCTCCCAGGCGCATCTGTCAGGCTCGGCGAAGTAGTTGAGCCCTGTGCAATCACCGGCAGTCACAGCAGGGGCCAGTGCCAGGAGAAGCAACGACAACGCCATGGGAAGCTTGAAAGCCTGGCAGAGCCCAGGGTCGAAGGTTTAGTCGAGTGGCCGGGGGGCTTTCGCTTGAGACGGAAGCTTCTCGCAAGCTTGGCTACAGGAAACATCTACTGTTGATCTTGTCCTCGTGCACATACTTGGAGGACCATGGAACTTAGTAAGTAAGACTATAAATAAAGCAGTGTAACAACAATTACGGAACATATATAACCTTACTTGCAAAGTTCCATGATCCTGCAAGGGAGGAGCTTTTAATTTTGCTTTAAACCCTAAACCCCTCCTGTCCAAATACTCTCCTCCAGCTCTCAATTTGGAATGCAAAGTTGAATGCAAGGGCAGTGCTACCCTTGTAGCACCCTTATAGATCCCTCTAGAGACCCCTTGAAAGGGATCCTAGCTTAGAGAGCTAATATAGGGGCCGTAATAATTAGAATAGGGTTTGGGGCCCATTATACTATAATTATAATAAGGATTCTAATTATTTAGGCCCCTACTACCCTGCTGTAGATCTCTTAAAAGGAACCCTAAGGCCTAAGGAATACTATAGGTACTTATTGAGGCCCCTAGTACCCATCGAAAAGACCATACAAAGGGCAAGTGCAGGAGCACGCCAGCAGCGCCTCAAGTGGCGTAGCCGTCGTCCATGATGCATTCCCTACGGTTGATGGACAAAATCCTGCATGACCCTAAGGGCCCTAAACTATGGGAACTATGGCATATTCTTTATATTTGGTTTTGCAGGATTTTGTCCATCAACAGTATCTCCCTAAGTCGGTGCTTTTTATAAGGGTGCAGTGCTATACTGCGGACCTAGAAAGGGACCCAATTTTGATAACCACCCATATCCCTCTCCGTGGACCATCTAGTCGAGACTTTGGCCTAAAAGTACCTGGATAGGAATTACTGTAAGGCCTCAGGTTATACGATATGGTTGTGGGTACATGGAGCCTTTAGGGTATCATTTGAGGACGGGCTGTCCCCACATGAGCACAGGCTTTAGGAATTAGCTTTATGGGCTTTTGGTATGAGATTCGTTGCTCGGCTTCCTTTCTTGTTCCCTCAACCCTAAACCCCAAACCCTTGACCCTAAACCCCCCTCCCGCCCTTGCAAAAGACACCAACACAGAGCCCAAAAAACCCTAAACCCTAACCCGAATGATCCTTGGCGAGCTTCGCCACGCCCTGGCTGCCGCGCCCCAGCTCCTCTTGCCGAGATGCCATGAAGCAGTTTTACATGAACCCAAGATTCACAACCTCCAACCAAAGCTCCTGCACCATACAACTTTAAACCCTCAAACCCTAAACCCTCAACTGCAATCCTAGGATACCCAGTAACCTAAGAACAAAAAGGCCTCTCCTTTTGGTATTGGGTAACTTTATAAGGAACCTAGGACTACAAAAAGGGAATAAGGGTACTACTGGGCATCCTAGAACCCTAAATCCTCAACTGCAATCCGTCCAGCCCCGAACCACCAAAGCCCTCCAAGCCGGTACCTACTCGGAGGATCATGGGACTTAGTAAGTAGGGTTATAAGTGCCTTAATTGGGGTTATAAGTAGTTATAAGTATAGTTACCCTAATTATAACCCCAGTTACTAAGTCCCATGACCCTGTAAGTAGAGTTTCTCGATCCGGCGGTTTAAGGTTTCGGGTTCACGACTCGGGTGATTTTGACGACGTAAGAGGGGTTCGCAAGATGGCAAGATGGTAGTTTTCGAAAAGAAGGGACCCTAATATAGCACCCTAAATAGTAGGATCCTTATAAGGACCCCAAAATAAGGTAACCCCCCTATATTCGGGCACTCCAAGATGGGTCCTGGGAATGACTGATTGACTTATGGGTGGTTGTCAAAATTACGGCCCCTTTTTGGGCACCCTAAATATTAGGTATAAGGACCCGAAGAGGGACCATAATTTTGACAACCACCCTTATGGGTTTGGGCTTTAAGGGTTTAGGGGGTAGCAATGATGACTGCAGTAAGACTTATTACTTCAAAGGAGCTCCCAGCCCCAAGAGAGAAAGGAACGCTAGGGATCCTTTAACGGGGGGGCTTTGGGTTTTAGGGTTTTTAGGGGTTCAAGGGTTTTAGGGAAGGAAGGCTCGGGATCCTTTAAGGGGGTTTAGGGTTTAGGCTTTTTACGGTTTTAGGGGGTTTACTTGGAGGCCCTTTTGACTTAGTAAGTCTACTTAGTATCCCCTAGAAACCCTATTATAATCCCCATAACCCACCTTACTAACCCTACTTACTAAGTCAAAAGGGCCTCCAAGTAAGAAGCCCTAAACCCTATAGATCCCTTTAAGGAACCCCTATAGATCCCTTTTAGGACCCCTTTAAAGGAACCCCTAACCTTACTAAGTCAAAAGGGCCTCCAAGTAGGGGCCTTTGATACTGGCTTCGGGGTTAGGGTTGATGGTTCCAGGAGACTCCACGAGGCCCTCACTTGGAGGCCCTGTTGACTTAGTAAGGTTAGGGGGTTCCTTTAAAGGGGCTCCTAAAAGGGATCTATAGGGGTTCCTTAAAGGGATCTATAGGGTTTAGGGCTTCTTACTTGGAGGCCCTTTTGACTTAGTAAGTAGGGTTAGTAAGGTGGGTTATGGGGATTATAATAGGGTTTCTAGGGGATACTAAGTAGACTTACTAAGTCAAAAGGGCCTCCAAGCATGCACGTCCTACAGTGACCCTCAACCCGAGTTTTTGTGGCAACTACAACCTTTACTTCAAGTGCATGTGCTGAGCTCCCTGATCCTTTGAGCAAGCCCTGACCCCTGAAATGATTATGAAAACCCTAAGCCCTACCAAAACCCCCAAATCCCCTAAACCCCTAAGCACAATCCCTCAAGCATTTGACAACTGAGGCCCTCGATCCTTAGGAAGCAGGTCCTCGCAGTGGTCTAGTTATCATTCAAACTCACTCCATCAGAATAACCATTATGTAGTATATGGCGTGTGATATATGATATGTAACCTGTAAAGTCATATAGTGTAGGCATACTATGTACTCGCACTGGCGGCTCGATTTACGAGGTCCTTGTAAACGGTGAAGCCAGCTTGCGTGAGGGTGCGGAAAGGCATGTTCACCTGGGCTTCTCCCCTAGGCTCGAAACCCTGCATAGCGAACAAAGGCAATATAGGGGCCGTAACGATTAGAACAGGGTTTAGGGGCCCATTGCACTATATACTAAAATTGTAATACGGATACCCTTATTTGGGGCCCTATAGCATTCCGTACAAAGGCCAGCTTGAAGAACAACAGCAGGAACCTCACTTTGTTTTATGCGAACATTGGCTGAACGTGCTGTTGCATCTTGTAACGGGCCCACAAATAGACATACATACATAAATACATATATACATACATGTACACATACATACATAGTTGCGCACGCACATTCATTCATACACATACGCACACACGCACGTACATATACACATACCTGCATACATACACCTTCACACGGACGTACATACACACATACCTACATACAACTATGCATACATACATAGGTACATGCATACATACATAGATACATGCATGCATACACACACACACATACATACACACAGACATACATACATACATACATACACACAGACATACTTACATACATACGTACATGCATACATACAAAGCGCATAGATACATAGATACTGCACAGATACATAGATTATGCATGCATACAAACACACATACATACATACATACATGCATAATCGCATGCATGCAGGCCGGCATGTATGCATACATGCAAGCATGCATGCATGCTTGCATGCATACATGAACGCTTGCATGCCTACATGCATGAATGCAAGCATGCATACATACATACACACACATATATACGCACATACATACCTACATACATACCTGCACACCTACCTACATACAGACATTTATCATACACATATACATGCAGACACACACACACACACGTGTGCCTACAAACATACCTACATACCTGCATGCATGCAGAAATACATCAGCAAAGACACCAATGGATAACCACAGGTGTTTGTTTATGTGTTGCTTTCTGCATGGTCGGCTTTCCAGGAAGACGCCTGTTGCATCGTGATGGTTGTAAGGCATCGGGCTCCCCTATCATCGGCTCGTTGAAGCACTCAAATCAAAGACACCCGTCTCTGCCTCAACCTCAGAATACCTACAGAAGAGCCCTTAACCTGAATCCCGATCCCAAGACGAAGATTACATCGGGCTTACATTCGCACAGCAAAGCCCAGGCCTACTGCTTCGCTGTTAATGTCGCTTGTGAGATCCATAAAGGGCGCACTCAAGCAAAGTTGGCGGCTGGGCCAAGCACTGTTAGCTTCAGCTCGGGACGACCAAACAGACCACGGGGTCGGTAGATTTCGTTTACAGTCTTGAGAAATCGATTTGGGCTTAGATGGGGGCAGTTGCAGCGCTACTATAAATCCCACAAGAACCTCGCGCTTCATTTTTTTCGCAAGATGGGGTGCCTTACTCCTTCGAAAGGGGCGCCTTAAAGGGGTTCCTATCAAGGGGTAAAGCCCCAAACCCTGAGCCCAAAACCGCGAAACACAAACATACTGACTACGAGCTAGGATCCAAACACCCTCGACACTGTCTCCCCTACATCCTAAACCCTAAACCCTACAACCCAAGCCCCAGAGAATAAGCCTCCCTGAGGCCAAGGAGCCACTGCGGTCTCCCCACCCAGAGTCTTGCGGTATTGTCGTAGCTGGTGCCTGGGACCGAACTGGTACAGGGTTTAGGTTAGGTACGGCCCCCATACAGTAAAAGTCTATAATACGGCTACTATTAAGGTCCTACTATATCTATATTAGGAATATTATTCAACTATTACTGAGTGGGGGCCGTACCTAAGGTTTAGGGTACAGGGATTCAATCAACAATAATACCAACAATCAAAAAGGGGGTTTAGCGTTTGGGTTTTGTGGATGCCAATACTGGTAGTAATAGCCACAAAAAGGCTTTAAGGTTTGCTGGAGTCAAGATATCATCAGGAAGGGGGATATTAGGGGCTAGACCCAAGAATAACCTAGGAATAAAAAGGGTGCCCTTTTTGGTCTAAAGGCGCTTATAAGGGAACCAGAACCCCCAAAAAAGGGAATAAGGGCCTACTCTAGGTCCTACTTGGAGGCCCTGTTGACTTAGTAAGTCTACTTAGTACCCCCTAGAAACCCTATTATAATCCCCATAACCCACCTTACTAAGCCTACTTACTAAGTCAAAAGGGCCTCCAAGTAGGGGGGCATGTAGGGTCTTAGAGGGTTTTGGGTTTTTGGGTCGAAGATGAGAGATTCGGGGATGTCGGGCTAAGTACTTCTTCCGACATCTATATGGGTGGTTGTCAAAATTATGGTCCCTTTTTGGGTCCTTATTAGAATACGGCACCTACAGTAATATTTAGGGAATTTAGGGTACACAGTACCCCCCCTAAACCCTAAACCCTAGACCGTACCCACAAAGGGGCCATAATTTTAACAACCACCCAATGCAGTAAACCCCATAAAGTCGGAAACCGGATTAAGGCCAAATTGTGCTGGGATTCCCTATACATCACTCTTATTGTAAACTCCAAAAAGTTGGAAGCCTAATTAAGGACAAATCGTGCTGGGATTCCCTTTGCTTTGCTCTTAGGGATTGAGGCTATAGGGTTTCCAACTTTTTGGCTTCTACTGTATAGGAGGGGAGGCCAGGGTTCCGGTGCTTCGTGAAGAGCACCTTCACACATTCGTTGCATACTCAAAGGGGCCTCCCCTTTAAAGGGATCTATAAGGGTACCTTTAAGGGGCTCCTTTAAGGGATCTATAGGGTTTTTGGGGTTTAGGGTTTAGGGTGATGATACAAATCCTGCATTATCTTTAAGGGCCCTAAACTATGGGAATTATGGTGTACTCCTTATTATGGGTAACGCAGGATTTAAATCATCAACCGTACCTCTGCGCATTTCTTCTTATGGGTATTCTTGAAACCAATGTGAACCATCCTGAAACACACCTCGACCCCAACTTGCAAACCATCAAGTTGTTTCGTTCAGGAGCCTGGAGAGATGTCCACGGCCTTCGCATTTCCGAAACCACCTCCTTGAAGCCCTGAAAAACCAACGGAATAGAACCCCAAAAACTATACCTCAAATCCGTGGCTGAAGATAAGGGTCCTTTTGTGGAGATTCCTGAAAATTGAACCTATGTATTTGCCGAAACTTTATCGTTTGCTACCGTCATTCTAATAAACCAACAAGGACATGGTTCCTTGATCGCGGCCTTAGCGTAGAACCCTATGTGCTTTTTGACAAGCTGCCAGCGTGGAGAACACTGAAATCATAACTGCAAGCCCCTCAAAAGCATGTTCAAGACCCTATGAAACAACACTGAGCGACCTCGACCCCTGAATCCTGATCCCCGACTTAAAGGATCATGGGACTTAGTAAGGGTTCCTTAAAGGCTCCTTAGGGGTTCCTTAAATGGATCTATAGGGTTTAGGTTTAGGGTCTACTTCAAGGATCATGGGACTTAGTAAGTGGGGTTATGAACCAGGTAACTGTACTTACAAGTACCTACCCCAATTAAGGCAACTTATAACCCTACTTACTAAGTCCCATGATCCTTGAAGTAGACCCTAAACCTAAACCCTATAGATCCATTTAAGGAACCCCTAAGGAGCCTTTAAGGAACCCTTACTAAGTCCCATGATCCTCCAAGTGGTGGTAAATAGTATATATAGTACAAACACCCTCAGCCGGGGCACTGCAGCAACAAACCCTCCATCCCCAAAAACCCAGATCCCGGAAAAAAGGAGCTTGAAGCAGAACCAATAATCTAAACGCGTCTAAAACCATGTAGTACTTGGAGGCCCTGTTGACTTAGTAAGTCTATTTAGTATCCCCTAGAAACCCTATTATAGTCCCCATACCTACTAACCCTACTTACTAAGTCAAAAGGGCCTCCAAGTACTGGTATACAATTTTCTGGGGCCTTCATTTTTTGGATACATGTTTAGATCCGAAGAAAGCCCTATAAACACTGAAGGTCTTTAAAATCTTTTAAAGGGGTCCGGGCATTCAGTATTGGTAATGGTAAGAATCACAGTGGTAGTAGTAATGGTAGCAGTAACCTACTAACTAACTAACTAATTAACTAACTAACGAACGAACGAACTAACTAACTAACTAACTAACTAACTAACTAACTAACAACAATGTAAAAAACAACAAAAGACAAAACATGTCAGTTAAATTGATGCTAATGATAGCAGCTGTAATCACAGTCGTAAGGGGTCCGGAAATAAAAGGGCTAACTATATGTAGGGTTATAATTGGGCTTTCTGTATGCAGGGTTGTATTTGGGATAACTATATGTAGGGTTATAAATTGGGCTAACCATATGCAGGGTTGTATTTGGGATAACTATATGTAGGGTTATAATTGGGCTAACTACCCAGACCTTCCAAAATCCTTTAAGTAAGGAATATACCTTAATTCATATTAGGGATCATATTATAATTTAAGGTATATTCCTTAATTAAGGGATTTTGGAAGGTCTGGGTATTCCTGCAACCCGCCGAGAGCTCGGGATCCGAACTTCACGACCTTATAGACTTCGTTCACCTCGAGCCTCACAGCTTCCAGGGCTCTCTGTGGGCTGAAAGATAGGGGTGTTTTTTCGAACATTGGGGGGTAATAAGGATTCTACGATTTAGGGTTCCTTCAAGCGATTTATAAGTGTCTCTATAAAGGGTTTAGGGTTTAGAGTTTCCGAAAATTCGGGGTATACCTTATTCTGGGGTTGTTATAATCAGGATCCTACTATTTAGGGTACTATTCTAGGATGCCCAGTAACCTAGGACTACAACAAGGGTATAAGGGTACTACTTGGCATCCTAGTAATTCGGGTCCCCTATTTTCGGAAACTCCCATAGAGGTTTGGGGGGTTGTAGGGGTTAGGGGTGTAGGGTGTTACGGTGGAGAGTTCTACTTGGAGGTTCATGAATAGTTATAAGTGGGTTTATAAGCCTTCTAATATGGGTTATAGTTATAAGTGGGTTTATAAGCCTTCTAATATGGGTTATAGTTATAAGTGGGTTTACAAGCCTTCCAATACGGGAAAAAATTATAGATACCTTACTTATATCCCCACCTTTAACTACCCATGAACCTCCCAAGTAGGGTTGAGAGTTCAGGGGGGTAGGGGTGTAGGGTCTTAGGGCTGAGGGGCTGTGGCCTTTGGAGTTGAGCGGCTTGGGTATCTTACTTGTCGGGTATCATGGGGAACTCAAGGTTAACCTTCTTGGTTATATAGGGGTTATACAAGGACTATACTCCCCAAAAAGGGTTGGGTATTACAGCGAATCCCAGAAAGTTGGAACATGGGTTTAGGAGGTTGAGTGCTAGGATCCCTTATACTTGACCTTAATGGCATGAGGATACTAATGTTCCAACTTTCTGACTTCTACTATAGGGTTGGGGAGTGGCAGGTTGGGGGTTTCGGAAGGGGGTTTAGGGTTTAGGGTTTGGGGATCGAGAGGTTCAGGGGCTTAGGGTTTCGGGTTTGGGCGTTCGGGTTCAAGGTTCGAGTTTAGGGATTGGGGTTAAGGGCATGGGCCTGAATAATAAGAACAGGGTTGGTAGGTATATTGTACTGATTTAGGCCCCTATCCTTAACCAGAACCCTTTAGATCCCTTACAGGAACCCTTGAGGAACCCGTTAAAGATAGTATGCTTAAGCATTAGGCCCCCATAGTAGGGCATCGAATGCCGTCTGGTTCTTAGTAGGGGGTGGGGGACTGGGTTATGGGAACTATCATTGGGGATTCAATAGGGACTACGATATAGGGGTCCATTCGCCCGTTTCCTACTAAGCACCAGACAGAACGGCTCATATGAAGTCTAGTTGGGCTTTCTAAACAGGCAGCTGAAAGCGCAGCTCAACATTGTGCGATGGGGCAAAGGGTTTCGGGCTTAAAAACTCTAAACCTGAACCATGAGCCTACTTGTTGGGTATCATGTGGAACTAAAGGTTAACCTTTTGGGTTAAAAAGGGATGAGAAAGGGACTATACTAACTATACTACGCAAAAAAGGTCAAAGGTTACCTACTCTACTACTAGGTCAGCATCGATCAGGATATTCATGTAGTCCGGCTTTTGATCTTGACCTGCTTTTGGTCAGCACCGGCTTCCAACGAGAGAGTCGATTCGAAGCCCAAACAACCCCTAAACCTGAAAAACGCGTTCCTCGGTTTAGGGTTTTAGGGGCTTAGGGTTTAAGGTTCGTGAACTCTGAACTAGTTGCCCTGATTTCTCTGGCCAGTGACAGGGCAACCTTCAACTACTGTGTGGCGGAGCTGCCTGAACCCTAACAGCAAAAGTTTGAGGAGTACGCCTTGCTCAACTACTACGTAAAAGGTAAATCCGTCCCACAACTCCTAACTCTACAAACTCATTCCCCGAAAGCAGAGGGCTGTGTGATGACTCTTCACCACTGCAAGTTCCCCAGTTTGTTGGCCGACATTTGTCACTTTGGATGCTTACACAGTTCATCAAGCTTTCTAAGTAGACGGTGAGCCCCCTTAGGCTAGGGCCAAACCAAGATGCGATGTTTGATTGGTCCGACCCCATTCACTCAATCTTCACGAAACATCCCTAAAACTTAAACTACCTAAACCAGGATGCCCAGTAACCTAGGAATAAGAAGGGCTCCCTTTTTGACATTGGGTAACTTTATAAGGAACCTAGGACTGCAAAAAGGGAATAACGGTACTATTGGGGCATCCTGGTAAACTCAAAGCCCCTAAATGCGATAAGTAAGCCCTGCTCTCAGGATTAGAGGACTTCACAAGTAGGTCATAGGTACGACCGTGCTTACAAGTGCTATCACCCCCATTGTGCTGATCCTCAGCCCTGCACCCTAATCCCAAACCTCCTAAACCTTAAACCCGATCATTACCTATACTGTTTTGGGGGCTCCTTATAATCATAACAGCATATACCCCAAAACCCTATTCTAACGATTAAGGCCCCTATATTACATCCTGCAACCTGTAAAAGCTCTTGTGCTAGCCCTTAACCTGGCCACTACCTCCCTGCACCGCTGATAGAACCAGAAAGAAACCCGAAGCCTGTATGACACCTTTTTCAAGTCTCATAGAACCGTGGTGAAGCCCTGGTAGTGGGCTGAGCATTTGATGGGAAGACCCGAAACGCCTAAAGTTGTCTGCTCTCTGGGGACACGGCATGCCACTGCCATCGAAGTCGAAGCAAAGGAAATTATCTGGGAGTTTCAGAAAATCGGGGACTCTGATATAGAACCCTGCAAAACGGGACCCGTATGGTTAAGGAAACCTCGTTGAGGCACCCCTCATGATGTTCAAACGCCCAATATTGTAAGGGAGCCTAGTATAGACCTGTAGGTAACAGGATCGTAATTTCAAGGAGAAGTAAACTGCCACTGCTTTCTGAAAACAGGCGCCCGACCAAACGGAGACAACATCCTAAAATGCCTTCAATAATATAGGGGCCTGATACTAGAACTATAATAAGGAACCCCACACTTGTCTTGGTAATTATTTAGGCCCCTGTATTAAACCCCTGAAGCACTGGTTTTTGAGAATCTCCTTTCAGCTCCGGGAAAAGCGCGAGGCAAGGACTTAGCAAAACGTTCGCCTCGGCGAGAAAATGCCTTCCCTAAACGGTTTAGAGTTTAGGGGTTCAGGGTCTAGGGTGTTTCTCTCAGTTGTCCTTTAAGCCCTGTGAAAAGTATTTACTACTATGGACCTCTACAAAATAGTAAAGGACAACCCAGTTCTTGGGAGGTTCCAAAACCCCCTTGATCAAGGAACATCACAGTTTTTGGGTTTAGGGTCCTGATATACCTCACTTGGAGGCCAATTTGACCTAGTAAGTCTACTTAGTATCCCCTAGAAACCCTATTATAATCCCATAACCCACCTTACTAACCCTACTTACTAAGTCAAAAGGGCCTCCAAGCACATCATCATCTCCAAACCCCTACAACGGGACCCGAAGATGGCAAGGGACATCACCACTGGATCGAGCTGCCTATAAGCTAGGTACTGCCCCCATACAGTATGAGTAAGAGTCTATAATAGGGTTACTATTAAGGTCCTAATATATCTATATTATGAATATTCTTCAACTATTACTGAATGAAAGCCATACCCAACGTATAAGCTTGGATCGGCCCGAAGAGAAGGCCTGGCGAGAGAAAGAGCTGAGGTTTGTAAGAATACTTGGAGGGTCATGAGACGTAGGTGGGGTTATAATAAAGTAGCTATACTTCTAGGTACTTATGACCCCAATGAAAGGCACAAAGACCTTACTTACTGAGTCCCATGATCCTCTAAGTAGAGCGAAGCATCTCAAAGACGAGGACTTGGGTCTAGGTTTAGGGTTCAGTACTCCAGATACTATAGGGGCCTGGATAATTAGAATACGGTTTTGGGGCCCATTTTACTAGAATTATCATCGGGAACACCCGAAATAGTATAGGTAATTACAAGGCCCCTATACGAAATCCTTATAGTAGCCCGTATAGACGCCTTCAAAGGAACCCTATTCTAATCATTTAGACCCCTAAAAAACTACCCTGCTGTAGATCTCTTAAAAGACCCTAAACCCTAAACCTATAGTAAACCTCCCTAATCCTGGGTGTCCGTGCTTTGCAAGTCACCGAAGGCCGCCAGAGGCAGCTCCAACACTTTTGACAAGGCCTCTGGGGGAGCAGCTTTCGGATTCAATATGTGGGCCTGAGGTTCAGGGCACTGCAAAGGCATCTAACAAGGGTTAAGCACTCTAGAGATATCCTTACCAGGCCATTTATTTCCTCAGCAATGGATTGTATATTGGGTGGTTATCGAAATTAGGGCCCCTTCCTTTTTTGTACCCTATATATTAGGTGCCGTATTATAATAGGGACCCAAAAAGGGACCCCAATTTTGACAACCACCCATGTGGGCCTCAGGGTTCAATGCGCTGCAAAGGGATCTACAAGTTTGTATTAGGGTTTGGGGAGGAAGGGTCCCTCCGTTTCCCCTTTGATTAAAGGGCTCCTTGAAGGGATCTATGGGGTTCCTTAACAGGGATCTATAGGGTTTAGGGTTTAGAATCTACTTGGAGGATCATGTGGCTTAGTAAGTAAGGTTATATGTACCTTGATTGGGGTTGAAGTGTAGTTACCTTATTTACAAGGCACTCTAGTTACCCAAATAAGACACCCTTCTATGATGCCCAGTAGTACCCTCATTCCCTTTTTGTAGTCCTAGGTTTTTTTATAAAGTTACCCAATACCAAAAAGGGAGCCCTTTTTATTCCTAGGTTACTGGGCATCCTGGTTTAGGGGTCTGACACTCCAAGCCCGGAAGCGGTAACTCTGAGTCCTAAAGCTGCTAGAATGAATCCGAATAGAGCCCTTACAGATCCCTTTAAGGAACCCTTTAGGGTTTAGGGGTTTAGGGTTCAGGCCCTATTCTAAACATCATGCTAGAATTTAGGGGTTTGGGGTTTAGGGTCTAGGGGTTTACTTACAGATCCCATTAAAGAACCCTATTCTAAACATCAAGGCCCAGAGATTGAATAATGAGCTATCTAACGGGTATATAATATCTGTATTAAGGGTATGTCCCTATTAAGGGTCCCTCCTTTTACCCTTGGAAATAAGGCATCCTAGGCTAAACGCCGGCAGCATAGATCCCGTTTAAGGAGCCCCATAGATCCCTTTTAAGGAACCCCATAGATCCCCTTAAAGGAGCCCTTAAAGGCATCCTAGCCTAAACGGAGGGCAGCCCTTCCAAAATCCCTTAATTAAGGAATATACCTTAATTCATATAAGGGGTCCTATTATAATTTAAGGTATACTCCTTAATTAAAGGATTTTGGAAGGTCTGGGGAGGGCAGAGCCCCTGCCTCGCAGACCTGAAGGAGCCCCTCGCAGTCCACAGCATCGTCCTCCTCTTCGACGCCTTGGTCTTCTGCTTTTTTATCAACCAAAATATGGGCTTTAAAGGGATCCTTTAAGGGTCTCTATAAGAGGTCTATAAGGGTACTATAATATCTGGGTGGTTGTCAAAATTATGGCCCCCTTTTTGGGAACCCTAAATAATGGGTGCCGTACTATAATAAGGACCCAAAAAGGGACCCTAATTTTGACAACCACCCATATATCTCTAGGGGATGACATACCATCTCAAAACTTTCTACCAGTTGCAATTTATAACCTTTGATAATTCAATCAGGCTGTACTGACTTCTCGTGATTGGTCTGACCATGGGCAATAAACTTCTTGCTCATGGGATGAGCTGTCCCTGCAAGGCTGCCCACAAGGTAGATGCAATATTGTGAAGGTGTGGCAGAGGTCTATGGATTCTCGAAAAATCAGCACGACTTTTCTGAAAGTACAGATGACCCCTGTAGTAACTGTGCTGCTGTCGGCAGTTCATCGCACTCACAGCTCCGACTGCACGCTTGATCTTACATTCGGGGCCGAGTCACGCTTGAAGCATTGGACCACCGCACGTTTCAGGACGCTGCGGTCCTGTATCGAAACTGTTGCATTTTGGAATCTTGGCCCATACTTCTGAGACGAGCCCCTACTAGCCGCTAACCTAGGAATAAAAAGGGCTTCCTTTTTGGTCTTGGGTGGCTTTATAAGGAAAGTAGGATTACAAAAAGGGAATAAGGGTACTTCTGGGCATCCTAGAAACCCTGAGCTTCAAACCCATAGATCCGCAAAGCCTAACCTCTCAAAACCGAAACCCTAAACCCAAAGCCCCAAACCCACACAGTTCTGTCCTTCAGAAGCTCCTTACCCTTAGAACCCTAAGCCCTAAGCCCTAAACTCCTAAACCCACCATGGGAAGCTCAGATCTCTCCTTCAGAAGCCCCTGAGATAGTACCTTAAATAGTTATCAGGACCCCAAAATACGGTACCCCAAAAATTTCGGAAACTACCAGCTTCTGTCCTTCAGAAGCTCCGTGATGGTGCTGATAGACTTCTGGTCCTCTCTGTGCTGTCATTTGAGGATTCAGGCCGGACGGTTTGGGTTTTGGAGTTGGGGTTTAGGGGTTTTGGGGTTTAGGGCCTTTAGGGGTTTAGGGCCTTTAGGGGTTTAGGGTTTAGGGGTTTAGGGGTTTAGGGTTTTTAGGGGTTTAGGGCTTTAGGGTTTAGGGTTAAGGGCCTTTAGGGATTTAAGGTTTAGGGGTTTAGGGTTAAGGGGTTTCCGTTTTAAGGTTGGGGGTTTATCCCGGTAGGCCTCAAGCGTCCTATTCGCTAAAGCCCCGATGCCACCAACGCGCATAGAAGCAACGAGCCTAAAAGAAGCCACACAGACCTAAAACCCGGAAACCCTAACTGAGGACTTTGGAACACCTCTGGGTATGAGGGGTGGGCTTCTCCACCAGAGTTCACTTTAAGTAGTGCATAGGAGTCGGAATAATTATCTCGTAGTATGACATACGACAGCTGTCGTAACTACAAGGTGATTGGCCCGTGTACTCATTAGTTCAGCTGCCATGGCGCGGGCGGTGCCATGCTTATGATTACGGACCCTCTCGTAGCTTGAAGTGCAGTTTACCACCACGAAGACAGATGACGTATGAGAAGCCTCATACGGGAGTTTCCACGAAGCAGCCTCTTGTAGACGCTAGAGAACACTGAAAGGATCATGGGACTTAGTAAGTGGGGTTACAAATAAGGGAACTATACTTTTAAATACTTCCAACCCCAATTAAGGCACTTATAACCTTACATCCTAAGTCCCATGATCCTCAAAGTGGAGAACAGGTGCGGAATTTGAACCCACCGTCGACCGACGGCGCTCTGGTTAACACTAAAACCTAGTTTTGTTGTCTTGAAGGCCATCTGGGAGTTTCCGAAAATGAGGGTACCTTATTTTGGGGCCCTTATAGTAGGGATCCTACTATTTAGGGTACTGTATTAGGGTCCCCTATTTTCGGAAACTCCCATATTGAAATGCACAGCCAAGCAGAAAGCTTTGAAACCTTGCCGCAAGCCTCGAGGCCTTACAGGCATGGGTTTGCAAAACTTGCGCTCCGTGTTGCAGACCTACACGAGAAGTAGCTGGACAGCCTCCAAACCGAGCAGTTTGTAAATTGCACTTCTCCGAAAACTACGTGCCCGAATTTTCGATCCCTTTCTGTAACACATGATTTGGAACAACCGCCCCTCAACTACATAGTGGCCGCCATCCTACCTAACGTAGAGTCGCCTACGACAAACCGTCAACCACTGCCAGGCCAATCTTGTTTTTGGCCGAGAAAACAAACGCTCAAGCTAAAAACCCGCAAGCCACACAAACTGCTATCTTTAACCGCTCTGTTGTACGGTAACCACAGGGACTTGCTAGTTGACTCCACTGATCCTCCAGTTGTCCGAATTCGATTTCTTCGGCCATGTTGCCAGCATGGCCATAACTACCAAAGCAAAACCCTAAACCGTAAAACCCCCTGCATTAAATGAAACACACACACACACACAAAATATAAGCCCCTGAAGCCCGAGATGTCCAGGGCATTGGTCCGGGCCATCGGAAGCGTGCTGCTTCGGCTGAGCCTGGGCTTGAACACGAGGGATGTTTCTTGTCTTCTTGAACTCCTTAGGGTCTCAATACTCTAGCCCGAAAAAGGTTAACCGTGTCAACTGTAGTAGGATTATATAAACCCGATAAGGTGAAACGATACCTACTCAGCTACGAACATGCGGTTCAGTGCAAACTGTTCGTTTTGCCATTTCTCCCAAATTCGGCAGGCTGTATACACTCGGTGGCTGCGTGTTCTTATACGCACTGTCACAACCGTCTACGATGTTTTCTGTCATAAGGTTTTCCGAAGCAGTTGTCAAAGCTTCAAGCGTGTCTCCTTCATGTTTCGGCATCCCTCCACCGTGACCGATGTCAAGCTCAGCAGCCTACCCTTCCGAGACTAAGGGGGATGAGAAGAAGTTTTTCATGTTCCGTCATCCTCGTGATGCTTCAGCGAAGTTGATCTCTGAAAGGATTGAGGAGCTTGAGGATATGGAGCCCAAGTCATTGGTTGAGATGAAGGAGACACTCCGCGACCAAATTGTGGACAAGAATGGTAGTACAGTACGTGGTAACAATTTCCCATTCCAGTCACTATACTATTTTATAATGTTCCCCAAACACTGCTCCAATCCTTAAGGCCGTTCTGAGGTTAAACATGAAGGTGGGTTCTTCAAAAGCGGTGTGACTTTTTATCTTCTTGCATCAAGGATCCTAGTACATTGAGTTCATGTTGAGGGTTACGTATGTTCGAATACTCCCATTGAAAGTTTTGGTTCAAAGACCACATGAAACCCTGAATTTGATACGGTTTCAGTTTGATGTCTCACAGACCAGCAGGCCGTAGAAATCCAAGAACGAATCAGCGTATGCTTGTCTCGTTTTTTGGGTGAGAATGAGGTCTTTGTGAAAAAAGTTACCGGAATTTCCTGCGCTCACAATTGGCATCTGAAGAACACAGCTCCCAAACAAGTGTCCTACCGCTATTTGTTCAGGTGTTCCATGTTTTGTCCCTTCAGGACCTGGGTGCACTAGAGCTGCGACATATACGTCTGTGGTTCATCGGCTTTTCTCTAGCTTCCAGCATGTCACGCCCTGAGAAGGACAATGAGTTGGCCAACATGGAAGATGCCCTCGATGGTGCACTGATGCCGTAGAGTCGTCATGTAGCCGGATGTCCAATACGCAGGCGACCAGACTGTTGTTTCATGATCTGGAACGCATGTTTCTCCATGTGCAGGCCCTAAACCCTAAACCCCTAAACCCTAAACCCACCGACTGGCTTTATCCCTCGTCTATGGGCCCATGGGCCCCGGGACTACATTTTACCAAGCTCTTCCTTTGTTCCGAACGGGCATGCCAGGGCCTACTGAGGTATTGTACATCATATGGGTGGTTGCCAAAATTAGGGTCCATTCGGGTCCTTATTATAATACGGCACCTAATATTTAGGGTACCCAAAAAGGGTCTATAATTTCGACAACCACCCATATATTGGGGGAGAAGCCTAGTTCAATAGACAACCCCAGCCATGCATCAAGATAATGAGCAAGACTACAACTAGGATGCCCAGTAACCTAGGAGTAAAAAGGGCTCCCTTTTTGGTATTGGGTCACTTTATAAGGAACCTAGGACTACGAAAAGGGAATAAGGGTACTACTGGGCATCCTAGACAACAACACGTGATAATGATTAAGAGAGCCATGCTCAGACAGCGACATAAGGGGGCCTAAGTGGAATAGCGATACCTAATTCTGCAAGCCCCTATTTGTCAAACCATATTAACTAACCTACTTGTCGGGTATCATGGGAAACTGAAGGTTAACCTTTTTCGGTTATATTTGGGTTTTATAGGGATTGTACTACCCAGAAAAGGATACAGGTTACTTACTCTACTACTTGGTTAAAGCCCCGCAAACCCCTTAAGCAAGCCCTAAGGACGTAGTTGCTGAGTTCACAAGCCCGAAAAGTGCACACTTTTAGTTTGATAGTGGGTCATATGATCCCAAAAAGTTTAAAGTGTATCCACTCAGCTACTGAGTCATGCCTTGTATATCGGTTTAGGGTTGAGGGTTTAGGGATGTTTGGAGTCGAATAGAGCGGGGTTTAGGGTTCAGGGTTTGGGTTTCCCTAAACCCAAACCCTCATGTCACCCTTAAGGGAACCCTTAAACGAACCGTTAGACTGAACTCCTAAAGGAACCTTTAGAGGAACCCTTAAGGGAACCCCCAAACGACCCATACTACAGGGGCCGAAATAATGTACCTATACTATTTTAAGGGGTTCCTCATCATAACTTTGGTACAGTGGGCCCCAAAATCCTATTCTAATTATAAAGGCCCCCCAAACTAAACCCAAATGGTAGCCCTTATGGTAACCCTCATAGACCCCTTTAAAACTAACCCTATTCCAAATATTGAGGCCCTAGAGTAAGCGTCGGGAGTTTTGTGGCTCGGATCTTCCTGAGCTGCTTGCGCCGTTGGCTTGGCGGGGATTGGGCTTCGGTACACGACCTGGGCGCTGAAAACGGGGTACTGTAGGGGCTTAGTAATTAATGTAGGGTTTAGGGTTCTGAAAGGGCTCCTTAAAGGGATCCCTAAACCCTAAACCCTAAACCCTAAACCCTAAACCCTAAACCCTAAACCGTGGATCTAGAGGGTTCCTTAAAGGGGTCTTGATGCATATATAACGAGTTACTGTAAGGGCCTTAACTCTTGGTCTAGGGTTCCTTTAAAGGATCGCTAATAAGGC